CAGCACAATCCTATAAAGCATCTGAGACAGCAAGAATCTGGCTGATTTTGCTGGAGGGGGGAAAGGTATATCAAGGCTTGAAAGACAGGGAACTTCCTCACTGGAGGAATATGAAGGAAGGTTAAGAATGCTCCTCTGGAAGGCTCTAGGATTTTCCACATTGGTCACATAAGCTGTGTATGGCAGGTGAGAGGGCCTTTGCCAGCAGGGAAGCTGGCAATGGAAACCTAGCTCTACCTCTTACTGGCTGCAAGACCTCAGACAAGTCAATTCACCTCCCTGAGCCTCAGTCTCCATCTCTAAGAGGAGGATAATAAACTTACCTTGCACAATTGCTGTAAGAATTAAGAGATAATAGGTGCGGAGAGCTCAATTCAGAGGTCTCAGAACATGAAAAGAATGAAAGGAGCCTATGAAAAATCGCCAAGGCCCACCTGCCTACGGGAGCCTCAGGCCCGATTTCCCATCTGTGGGCATCTTATGCCAAGGCCTCAAATGCCCCAGATACCTGGCACCTCTATGCCCAAGATACCTCCCTGGATGGGAAAGGAAACCCAAAAGTGGTTGTGGTCTCAGGGATCCTGGATCCGAAGCCTGTGGTCAGGGCTGGCATCTGCTGAGTCAGGCCATGGAGTGCTGGCAGAGGGAGCATTTCTCTCTCCAGCACACTGCCTGCTGAGGGGAGGTTGGGAGGGGAGCCAGAGGTCATTTCCTCTGACTCAACAGCCATTCTCCTCCCAGAGGAGCTCCACTAGAAGACAGGGCACCTCCATGTGGCATTGGTCTCTCTGCTAGCCAACCTGCACACCACCCTGCAACAGTCAAGGCATTGTGCTGAGACAAGAAAGGGGCACTTGTGGACCAGACAATGGGCTGGGTCTCTCCCATCTGGCCTGGGCTTCCGCTTCCTTGGGTCAGCAATGTCCTTTCCTCTCCTGCCCACTAACTTCCACCCTTCCCTGGAGAATGGTGGTTAGGAACCTAGAGCAGCGACCCACCTCCAGCCCATGGGGCAGTTTGGCACATGCTCTGGCCATGAAGTGGTGGAGGGAGTCAAGTTTTTTTCCTCTCCCTGTTAAGGAACATGGCTTCTGGGAAATGCAACTCAGGCCATGTAGGGAGGAGATGGGAGAAGGCTCTGGTTAGTGATAATGGTGGTGGTGGGACCCAGCCTCAGTGCCTCTTCCTCTAGCAGCAAGCTTAGGGTCTGGGCCGCCTCCACGTTTACAGCCACCCTAGGAGTCCTGCTGCAACGATTGCAGCCACGTGGGAGCCAGCTCGTGCCCACGGAGCCGCTCACCCCCAACCCCCACTCTCGACGGGCTGTGGAGGCAGGCACACCCAGACGGCCACAGGGATGACATTCCCCCACGGCCCCCACCTCTCTCCCCGCGCCCCCGGCTCTGGCCCCGCGTGGGGTGGGGGAGGGGGCGTTGCCGGGGAGCGCAACCCCGTTACTGTGGCAACGGTTTCCAAGCAAACTGGTGGCTGCTCGAGCCCTGCTCAGGCTTCCTCGCTCACTGGCGCCCTCCTTCCCTCTCCCTCCCTCCAGTGTGGGCTGGGGGAGGGTCTACCCGAGGCCGGGCGGGGGTCCAGGGCGGAGACCCCCCCCCCCCGGCCGGGGCGCAGACCTGCCCGCGGGGAGGGGCTCAGTCCTGGGACCATCTTCCACCCGCACTCCAGCCTTCCCAACCCGCAGCCGCCGCGGTACTCACGGGCCCAGGCATCATCCTCGAGCTCGTCCTCCTGCCTTGGGGCGAGCGGCCCAGCGGACTGAGTCCTAGGCCTGTGGGAGGCGGCTGTAGCGGCGGCTGCCCCGGGGGAGAAGACGGTGGCAGAGAAAGCGGCTCCAAGCGCAGGGCTGAAGGCACGGGGCGCGCGCACGGCCGCGTACACGGCGCGTGCCAGCCCGGCGTGCGCGCGCGCGCGCCAGCCAGCAGAGGGCCCCTCACCCCCACACAACGCCGCTGAAGAGGCTGCCCCGGGTGGGAAGGGGGTGAGCGGGACTGAGCACCACCTGCCACGCCCAGACCTGGTACACAAGGGCGCCAAGTTCACACCCTCAGGGCATCCTGAACCGGTAATGCACATGCCCCACATCCTGGCGATAGGCTGCTCGGCCGGGGGCATGCCAGCAGACCCAAGCACACGTTGCACACACCCGATACTCAGCCAAGCAGCTGAGGTCAAGAACCCCGATGCGCACACAGCTCAGCCCGGAGAGCATATCGTCTACACGTCGAGGTCCCTGCCACATTCCCACAGGCTACTACATACATGCAGTGGGCAGGGGTTCGAGCAGGCAGCCACTCCAATGTGGTTCCCTCCCAACTCATGCTTGCACCCTCTGTTTCCCCATCAGGCATACATCACCAGGTGCCTAACTAGCAAGAAGCACAAGGAGGAGGACCTAGTGCTGATTTGGTAGCTTTGGCCCCATGGACATGCCCCAGGAAACGAGATGACCCCTACAGAGGGCCCCACCCTGAGGTCCTCTTAGGCCACTTTGAACCTGGCTGTCCTGGCCCTTAACCTGAGTTCTGTTTCTACACCAACCTCTCTATGGCTCTTAGGGCGATCTTTCAAAAACACCCTCTATCACCATATCAACTGGAGCATTTTGGATTGTAAAGCACGGAACCCTAAAATAGATAGGCTTGAGCCCACAGGGACTGGCTCACTTAACTGGCAAGTCTGGAGAGATTGTTGCCACTGGTTCTAGGTGTTTCAGCAACAGCATCAAGCGTGTATCTGCTTCTCTACTCTTTCTCCCATGTCTGCATCATTTTGGCAAGAGGTGGCAAGGATGAACTCCACAGCTCTAGGCCACCCATTTCCAGAGGGAAAAAAACTGTTACCCAATAGTCTGCAAAAACAAGCAAACCAATAAACCCATAACTTTTTTTACCCCACTCATTTGGCTGAGCATCAGTGACCCAATCCATGCGCAGCCACACCTTTGGGGAAGGGATATCTTCTGAATGGCCACCCAGTATCCATTTTATTTTCTTTAGGTACATTACCCAGATTTAATTGGGAGAATCATTGCCCCCTATGGGTGCTATCATGCTGGGCCTTTGAAACCAAGTACTCTGCCCTCCCAATATATGCTGGACAGGTTTCTAGCCTGGCCACTGGGACTCATTGGAGCCATGTTGCCAAGACAGGAATGGCATTTGGCTTTTCCTGGTCACACTCTGAAGAGATGCAGTTGGCAACTAACACTACAAGACCTTACCCCCTCCACTGGTACTGGGGAGTGAACCAAAGGCCTCCACATAGCTATATCCTTCACCCTTTTATTTCTTGAGACAGTCTTCCTAAATTGCCCAGGCTTCATTCAAACTTGCAGTCCTTCTGCCTCAGTCTCCCTTGCAGCTAGGATTATAGGCCTGAGCTGCCACACTCCACCCTCTGGCCGTTCTTATCTAAGCTTCCTTATGTCCTTTAACATTGTTAGCTAGAAAGCTGTTCCATCTCTTGGAACATTCCCATCCAGGTCATATGTGTGGTGTACTGTATGCAGAGGTGCAAACCCTGCACCATCTAAACTACATGGAGAGTAGGGAGGGCTTCCCTAAAGAAAACTATATTTTTGTAGATGCTGGGATAGACCTCTAGATACAACCAGTCAAAACCCTTTAGGGATTCCTCTGCTGTCCAGATGAGGCCCTGTACACTTAACATGGCTTTCAAAACCCGTTTCAGCTCACTGACCTGAACTTCGGCCACTCCTTTTTTCCACCCCACTCCTATCCCATACTCAGTCATCCTAAGCCACAAGCTCTACATCATCCATCTGGCCCCAGTGTCCTAGACAGCACCAACTAAGACACCTTCATGGCCAAGGGGCCTCCCCTGAGTGCTGCAGCCCCCAACCCCCACCACTCTAGAACCTTCTCTGCCAGTGCTGATCACACTGGGTGCCACTGTTCCCACGTCTGCCTGCCTACCAGACTGAGCTCCAAGCTGGCAGGGGCCTGGTCTCCATCTGTGTGCCCAGCTCCCACCATAGAGCTGGGGAGGGAGGAGGTGAACTTAGTGAAAGCTTGTTGGGAAATGAATTCTGGGAGCTTCCTCTGCCAAGGATTTAAGGTGAACTTAACCCTAGCAAAGTTCCCTGGATGGCTCCCTCACGCAAGGGGGAACATGAGAAGGGTCTGGGTGCCTCAGGGCCCTGCATGTCCACCTGGCACACCTGCCCAGGGATGAGCTCTGGCCTCTGCAAGTTAATACCTATGTGACCCTCACCCCAACCCCAGAATTTGGAGCAGAGGGACAAATGCACCTCAAATCCCAACCTCATGAGCAGGAGCAGCTAGCTTTTTTCACCCTGCAGTGACCACTCACCCACTGGAAGACCCTGAGCAACCCCACCCCATCACCACATACATACACCCCTTACCATTTCCTTTAAATTGATTAAAGAGACCAGCACTGGGTACCTTCCAGCTGCTCTTAAGACAGCTCCCCAACTTGGTACCTAGCACACACTCCCCAGCAGTTGAGTCCTATCAGTAACCTAGGGGCTCCAGGGGGCTCACTAACTTCTTCAGTGGACTTTCATAGCTGCCCTGCAAGGCGATGGGTATCACACTCGTCTTCCTAGACAAGGGAAGGACCTAAGCAGTTTAAAAAGCTGCCAGACTGGAACCTGAACCCGTAACTGGCAATTACAGAACTCATATGGCTTCTGCAGCCCTATGTGCCTGGCCCAGAGGCACAGAACAAACCTTTATGGTAGTTACAGGACATTCTTGGGGGGAGCTAGGGACACTGGAAAGCTATTAAGCAGTGACAAGTTTGTAAAGTCTAGGGAAAATTTGTGATCAAACACCTCCTATCCCCAAATAATACCATAAGTGGTTCTCCAATCCTCTGTCTTCCAGGTGACTCTCCTTCAAGGCCCAGCTACCTTTGGAAAACCTGCCTTGATGTGCAGGTGGCTGGTTCCTTCCCAACCCTGCCACAGCCTTCTTCCCAGTACCACCATTCTCTAGGCCTTTTGCCCATCTACATTTAATGCATCAAGGACAAAAGAGAAGGATCCACATGCACCAGCCCATAGCAGGTAGCCAGGTAAAGAAAGATCTGGGGCAAGTGTTTACAACAGCAGTTCCCACTTGGCTCCCCAGGCCACTCGCAAGTTCACATTTGGCAGCCAGGCCACTTTGGCCTTGGACAGCTTAAAGACCAGCCAACTAGGCCTGCCTCTCCAGCACAGTCAGAAAGAGACCCACACTACAGTACCCAAGGGTCTCTTTCTCATGACCTCTACTCTTTAGGAAACCGTGGAACCCACTGGGTGAACTCAAAAGGCCACCAAGGCCTGAATGCCTAGAAAGACTGCCTTACAGTAAGTCCTAAAGGCTCCTGAGCCTTGAAAAGGCAGCCCCTCACCCCTTTCTGCCAGGTCTACCTCCAATCCTTTCCCGCTTCCGGCTGGGCCAGGGAAGCAGGAAGACCCCCTGGAACACCAGAAGCAAGAAAGAGGCAGGCAGGGGCTGCTGGCCAGGTTTGTGCTCGGACTGTATTCACACAGAAACATGTGGCAGCTTACAATGGACAAAATGAGTAATAAAAATTAGCTTTAAATATGGAAAAACCAGGGTCCTGTAATCCCATTCTACCCTAACATGGGGGACCAAGATGGCTAGCACAGTCTGGGAGGACCAGGGCTGGGGCAGGGTCATAGGCACAGCCTTACCCTAGCCCCTTCACACATACACAGATACACACCCACACCCACACATTCCCCATGGGCACACACAGGGAGGGGCAGATTATTGCTGGGCACATGTGAATATTTTTTTTTTAGGGGGAGGGAAACCCAATGTTTTTGTGGGTTTTTTTGGTACCAGGGATCGAACTCGGGACCTTGCGCTTTCAAGGCAGGCAGTGGAACCACTGAGCTAAATCCCCGGCCCTTCACGTGAGTATTTTGGAGGGGATTCTGGAATGTTGGCCAGAGTTGGTCAAGGACACCCCTACTTCTATGGCCTGGGCTGGAGCATTTTTGAAAGAGGTGTCTTCAGGGCCCAGCATAAGAGACAAGGTGAGGTGGGAGCTGGAAAGCAGAGGGAGACCGAGGTGGATCATCTTGGGCAGTGAACTAATGGGTCTCATGGTCAGTCCAATCTCTGTTCACAGCTTGGCACAGGCCTACAGGATACAGAACCCCCAGGTTTTTTTTTTTGGTACCGGGGATCAAACTCGGGTCCTTGCGCTTGCGCAGCAGGCGGTGGAACCACTGAGCTAAATCCCCAGCCCCTTCCTCCCAGATTTAATTCTGACATTTGCTATAAAGGGATACTATTGGGCCCTAGTCAGTGCAGCCTGAGCCTAGGACAGCAAGGGCAGGCACGAGTCTCACTCAGAGGTTGGTGGTGGCCAGCACAATGCCGGGAGTTCAGGGATCTGGCCTTGCCCCTTCTGAGCGGGGCCTGAGAAGCCTCAACTTTGGCAGTGGCTCCTCTGGTATCTCTTAACTCTCCCAGCCAGGGCTTGCTGCCTTGGAGGCTGAGGCGGGGCGCCAGGTCTACGGTAGGAATTAAGAACGCTCTGGTTGCTATATACATTCGTACAAATACATAAATACAGAAAGCCCAGAGCTCCGCAGAGGAGCTAGAGGGACGCACCTTTGTCCCAGGGATGGCCCAGGCTTTGCCAAACTCAGCCAGGCCAAAGGCTGAGGGCCAGAGGACACTGGGGACAACTCCGGCTATGTTCCCCAGGCCACGACTTGAGTGGACAATGGGGAAGACCACTGTGCAAAACTGTAAACAGCACTTGGAGTAGCTGCTACCGCCAATCGCCGGTGGGGGCCTCAGGCTGGGGACTAGAGGTGGGTGGGGAGCTCTTCCTCACTGTCGCTGCAGTTCCCACAGCAATCCTGGAGGGACAGGGAAGACATGGAGGGAAAGAGGCAGAGCGAGTGCTGTTAACCACCAGTGACGTTGCTTGGGGCTGCCCAGACAGGACAGATGCCACCCAGGGTCATGCTCTGGGAAAAGAGCTCCCCACGAGGGGCCTGGAACAGCAACTCAGGCCACATGTGAGTGGAGATCAGAGCAAAGGCTTCTGGCAACTGATTTGAAGTAAGGGAGACTAGGGAGATCCCAGATACTGCCAGGGCAAGGCCTCTGTCCAGGTCCTTGATAGGGGCTGGGGACAGGAAGACAGAAGACTAAGCAAGGCTGACAGCTTGAAGGGGCCAGGGTGCAGGGAACTGCAGCAGTGGGGAGGGGTACAGGGGGCGGGCACCAGACTTCTTTCTCCCACATCTTGCCTCTGCCATTGAAGGGCTGCCTGGGGCTCCCCGAGGCTGGGCAGCGAGGCTAACCCACGGGGAGCCCACACTGCTCACCTCTGGAAAGAGAAAAGAGGCCATGAGCCCAGCCAGGGGAGGGGAATGTGGCCAGAGATCCTAGGTATTGCTGGCAGGGCTGGAGCATGTCCACTCCCAGCATAGGCAGGCACTGGCTGTGCCTCCCACCCACCATCCCCTGGAGCCAGGCTGGGAGCCCAAGTAGGATACTGCCAGAGCTTACCTGGCGGCTGAAGAATCTTTGCAGTAGTCCCTTCTTGGGTGGTGCAGGTGGCTGGCCCTTCCAGTCCAGGTCTGGGGGAACTGAGCCATCCAGCCCAAAGACATTCAGCTCCTGGAAGCACTCAGTCTCCACCATCTAGCAAGGAACAGGTAGCTGTGAGAGCTGCCCCAAGGCTGTCCCCCGGAGCCCATGTCACCAGTGTGGCAGGTCCTACCTCATTCTGCCAGGGGATGGGCACACTGCCCGTGGCAAACTTCTGGTAGAAGTCCTGGTCCGTTGGCTCTAGCTCCACGCCCTTAACAGTGGAGAACTGTTCAATGTCCAGAACATCCTTGCAATAAATGGCCTGAGGCTAGAGGGGACAAATGCAGTCATCAGATAGGAAAGCGCAAGTGTGGGTGTACATGCATGTGTACACACAGAGATGGGAAGGCAGTTCAGCCCTGAGTCTCTCTGACTCTTGGCCTGGTTCTGTCCTGATACCTGCAGAATCTCATCTGGAGTCAGCAACCAGGTGTCCCATGTACTTCCCAAGCACAAGTTTCTTCTGTTTGAGGCTAACTTCTCCCTCCATGTCCTCTTCTGCATACTGGGATCATTATCCCTCATTGTTCAACGACCGAATGATGCTACATATACACCTGAGCTGTCCCCTGCCCCCTGCCCTGCACAAGGCTGCCCAGGTGTGTGGGAAGTGAAGGAAGTGCAGGCTGAAACTCCACTAGTTCCTCATGCAGGGCCTACAAGCAGATAGGTTCCCCACCCTAGGATGTCTAGTGGCCTCCTCCGTCCCCTCTCATAACCCATCAAGAGGACAGAAATGGTCCTCCACTACCTCCCCAGCCCCCTGTTGAGAGATCACCTGAGCCTCAGAAGGCAGACATTCAGCTTTTCCATCCTTGTATTTTTTTCTAAATCCTAGTATTAAGGTTGTCAGTTAAAATATCATGGGGCTAGGAGTGTAGTGTAGCTTAGTGGTACAGCCTGTGCTTAGCAGGCCTTGGGTTCAATCCCCAGTGTGTGTGTGCGTACGCATGGACACACATACACACACACACACACAGAGACACACCATATATAGATATGTTCATCATGCAAAATGGTACATCCACTTTGGAAAACAGTGTGGCAGTTTTCCCAAAAGGTTAAACATAGCTAGCCTATGCCCTAGTAATTTTACACCTAGGTAAAATACCAAAAGAAATCGTATCTGTTCACACAAAAATCTGTACAAGTTCATAGCAATCAGGCATGGTGGCAAGTGCCTGTCACCCTAGGTATCTGGGAAGCTGAGGCAGGAAGACTACTTGAGCCCCATAAGATTAAGACCTCTCTGGGCAATACAGCAAAACGCTATCTCAGACTGGGGATTTAGCTCAGTGGTGCCACCACCTGCCTCACAAGTGCAAAGTCCCGAGTTCGATCCCTGGTACCAAAAAAATAAAATACAAAAAGATTATTAAAAAAACCCCGCTATCTCAGAAAATAAAGAATGCTCATAACAACATTCTTCATAAATCAAAAAAGTAGAAATAAACCTAATGTCTATCAATTTATAAATAAATGTGGTATTACTTACACAAGATGTTCAGCCTCAAAAAGGAATGAAATACTGATACATACTACAACATAGATAAACCTTAAAAAACATGCTAAATGCCAGGAATGGTGGTACATGCCTGTAATCCCAGCACTTGGGAGGCTGAGGCAGGAGGATTATCTCGAGTTTGAGGCCAGTCCGGATTACAGATACCTCAGAGGAGGCACTGCGCCTGCCTGGCAAGCACAAAGTCTTGAGTTTGATCCCGAAACCAAAAAAACATACTAAGAATTTCGCCACCTGCTGCGCAAGCGCAAGGACCCGAGTTCGATCTCCGGTACCAAAAAAAAAAACAAAAAAAAAAACATACTAAGAAGCCAGTCACAGAGCATCATATATTGTATGATTCCATCAATACATATAAAATATCCAGAATGGGCAAATATACAGAAAGTAGATTAGTGACTGCCAGAGCAGGAGAGAATAAGGATGACTGCTAAGGGGACAGGCTGGTGGGGTTTTGGGGGGACCCGGAGGGTGATGAAAATATTCTAAAATGTATTGTGATAACAGTTGTATAAATATGACATACTGAAAGTCACTGAATGCCGGGCGAGGTGGCACATGCCTGTAATCCCAGAACTTGGGAGGCTAAGGCAGGAGGATCACCAAAAGTTCAAGGCCAGCCTGACCTACATAGCAAGACCCTGTCTCAAAAAAACATGGTTCATGCCCACCCAGGGATGCCGCTTCCAACTTGGGCCGGGGATTTAGCTCAGTGGTGCCACCACCTGCCTTGCAACCCAAGGTCCCGAGTTTGATCCCCGGTACCAAAACAAAACAAAACATCACTGAATTGCATACTTTATATGGATAAATTGTATGTTATGTGAATTAAATCTCAAAAAAGCTGTTAAAAAACGTCAGCATTGAGCTTACTGTCAATCTATTGCTTCTGGAAAGTTAAAACTCCATGGCACTGATTTTTTTCTCTAACTTTGAACTAAAGATCCAGAGGTAGTACAGTTATGTGAGATGGTGTGTACAGGAAGCGGGAGTAAACTTGAGTAGCAGTACCAGTCTCAGGCAGGCAGATGGAGGTTAGGCCCTCTTGGTTCAAGAACCAGCCCATGACAGCACCCTCCCTTTGGGGTTCTAATTGAAACCTACCATGTAAGAGTCACTGAGAGGCAGTGTCTCCCTAGCTGGCCTCCCTACTTATACACGTACGCTCTATGACCCACTCTCCATACCTCACTTTCCTGTCCAAAACCCTCAAAGTTTCCCTGTCATGCTTAGGATATGACCACCCTTCTCTTTCCCTGCACAAACTCATTCCAGCCACATTGGCCTCCTCCTTACTCTTCCCTGTCACTAGGCCAGTTTCTGCTCCAGGATCCAATGCCTGGCTGTTCCTTTTGCCTGGAATGCTTACCCCAACCTACCCCCAAATTTTGGCATGACTCTCTTTCCGATTTTTAGTGTCTGCTTAATCATCAGCTCCCCAGAGAGCGCCCTAAAATTACTGCCCACCCCCTAGCCTCCAACACTCTGTCTTCTTAGCCTGCTTTCTTTTTCTTTGTTGGACTTAGCATTACCTGAAACTTTCTCACTTACTGGTTTATTTTGGAGTGTCTTCCCACTAGAGCATAAAGACAGACCTGGGTCCTGTGGACCTCATTATCTCCAAGGTCTGGCACATATGAGCACACAGATATTTGTCAAATGAATAAACAAATGTGTGGTTGACAGTCATCAGCCTGGCCTGTCCATCACCTTCCAGACTCCCCAGTGAACCTGGTAAACTATCACAGGATCCAGTCCTCATATCCACGGGACGGAGGCAAGCACATGACCTAATCCTGGCCAATCAGAAGGTTCCCTGTGACATTACACAGAGAACTGAATTCAGGGGCGGGGATACAGCCAACAGATTGAAGAAGCGCCAAGAGATGGAGACGTGAAACTCTGGGGACTTTCTTCTGAAAGAGACCAATAAACTTCACACTGGGCTTGAGTAAGTGGGAGTTGGGTTTCTGCCACTTGTAATATGATTAGAGGATGTCTGTGCCTGTAGAGTGCCTAACCCAGGAGATGCTCAATAAATGAGTGGGAGTCTATAAGAGGGAGTGTCCTGACTGAAGAGGGGCAGCCAGCCCCGTAGACCTCCCCCATGGCACCGTCAACTCGGTTTTCCTTTGGGAAGTGGACTGTTCTCATTGGCAGTAGTCAAGGTGGGCATGTGATCCAGCTTTGGTCAGTGAGGGTCCTCTGAGCAAGCAGAAGTAATGAGCCATCAGCCTCAAGATGTTTTTCCCCTTTAGGATTTCCTTCAAAATTCCTGGGCAGGGCCAGGGATTTAGCTCAGTGGTTTCGACGCCTGCTATGCAAGCGCAAGGACCCGAGTTCGATCCCCCGTACCAAAAAATAAAAAATTCCTGGGCAACAGTTGCTCTCTGCCTACAGGGATGTCCACTGGTGGTTGTGGGCCTGATCTGTTGGGGCCATCATTGCCAATCCCTGGGGAAAGCTGCCTGACAAAGACTACATAATCAATAGTACAGTGTGGAGGGGGAAGAACAGAAAGTGAATTCCTTCAATACTCTCAGGCCACCCCACCTCCGACTCCCCATTCAGATATGCCAAAAGCCAGACCTATCCTGGGGTTTTTCATTTTTGTGAAGGTAATGATGTGGGGGCATGAGATTGGAAGTGTCCTCCCGCTAAGGGCCTCCAGCCCCCACCCCAGCTTGGCCCTGCCCTCCGCAGAAATGGGCCGCACTCACATCAGGTTTAAAGGGTGGTTCTAGCATGCCTGCTCCCAGCCGCTTGAAGTTCAGTTTTTTGAAAAGAGGGTGCTCCTTCACCTCTTGGGCGCCGCCCCCACGACACCCCAGGCGCTCCGTAGGGTCCTTGCAGAGGAGCTGTGGCAGGGCATGGGTGGTCAGGGTACCCATGTGTGGGCAGGCAGGTGAGATGCCCCAGCTCCAGCCCCGGCCAGTCAGGCCTCCCTCTTGCTGTGATACCTGGGAACAGAGTGAGCAGGCCTGCGGGGAAAAGCGCTCAGAGTATTCTTCGGGCACCTCCTTCACCAACCGTTCCACCTCCTCCCGCTTGATCTTCTTCTTCCTCTGCTGGAAGGGTGACTGGCCTGCGATCATCTCATACAGGAGGCAGCCTAACGCCCACCAGTCCGGGCTGAATGTGTACCTCTCATTCTTCACCACCTCTGGAGCTGGGCAGGGCACAGGAGCCAGGGCTGGGTAGGTGGTGGGGAACAGAGCCCTTGGGCCCCAGGAATGCCCAGCACATATGAATTCAGGGGATTGACTCAGACACCCACTGGCCAGGGAAGTACTATTATCAACTTGGTGGGGACATCATCAAGTATAGAATATACATCCCAACAAAGGCAGCTGATATGGCCTTGTAGGATGCCATATCTAGGGTCCCCAGCTCTTCTGATTTCTTTCTTTTTTATGATATGGTGCTGGGATGAAACTCAAGGCTCTGTACCTTCTAAGCAAGCACTGTACCTCTACCACTGAGCTATACCACAGCACTCAAATCCTTATTTTTTACATAAAGCTCTCTGGTTTATTAAATGTTGGCAACCAATTTAAACTGTTCCACATTTTTACTTCAATACTAATGTAGGCCAAATTGGGCCCTTGTGGTTACTAGTTTGCAACTTCTGGATTTCACGAGAGAAAAGACAGGGCTGAAACTCCTACTTGCTGATACCTCCTACCTGCCAGGGCAGGCACCTGAGGAGTTTTCACTCAACTATCTCTTTTCATCTCCAGGCAACCCTGAGAGGCAGCTCTGATGATCCTTTCACAGTAGAGAAAAAGAGAGGCTGTGAGAAGAGGAATCGGAGCACTACAACAGGCAAGAGGTAGAACCTATTGGGCCAGGACTGTCTACCGTGTGATGTGGTCACACTCCAAACATAGGCAATCCAGCACAAGCAGGGATAAAGCCATGGAAATAAGTTTGATTTTCTTCTTCTTCCTGCCCTGGTAGCCACATGCTGGCCCCACCAAGTGTATGTGCTCAATAAGCATTTAGTGAATGAAAGATGTGCATTCATAATGGTAGGACCCTGGCTGGGGTCTTGGTCTCCTAATCCACACAAGAGGAACATCAGTATGGGCTCTTTCTACTTCCTCAGACACAAAAGACCCTCATACAGAGGGTGGTAGGCAAGGCTCAGGAAAATGAAGGGAGCCAGGATGTTGGTGACCTGGGATAGAGGGAGACTTACCCATGTAGCCCACAGTGCCCACACGACCTTTGATGGTCTGGCCCTCAGGCACATGCACAGCCAGCCCCAGGTCAGAGATGCGGATGTGGCCTGAAGGAGAATGGAGAAACAGGTGGGCCTTAAAGGCCAGGCCTCCCCAACTCAACCCACCCCAGCTTTGTCCCTACCCACCCACCGTGGTCATCCAGAAGGATGTTCTCTGGCTTCAAGTCCCTGTGGGGAGAAAAGGGCAGAGTCAGCCGCTATTCATTTTGTCAAGAAGCCAGACAGGGCCGGCCCCTCCTAGCTCAAGGGCCAAGTGACAGATGACTGCTCTCCCTGGGCAACAGCCCGGACTCAGGATGGCAGATGAAAGATTTATAGTCCCAGGACTCCCAGGATCTTCCTAGGTAAGTGAAAGGTGACTCTCACCCAGGGGAGGACTTCCTAGACATCACCCGTGTTGAGGAGCTCCCTTCCATTTGGTAGCTGATTCTACCATTCCTCTGTCATGCAGGGCTACTCATCAAGCCCCTCATGGGGCTGATATGAGGCTAAAGTGAAATCGTCACCAATCACCACCATAACCAAAGCTCTCCACTACTGAGCCAAACTCTACTTAACAGAAAAGGAAATAGTGTTGGCGGCGCAAGGAGCTGACTGACCCAAGGTCACACAAAGGGTAACAAAATCAGGATTCACACCTAAAGGTCACCTAGACCTCACAGCCTAGGCCTGAGCCCTGAAGTCAGCCCAAAGAGGGGGAGTGTTGGGCCCTGAGCCAGTTACTGCTGTGGCCAAGTCACATCTTCCAAACATCAATATCCTTTTGCTGTTGACCTGACTGACAGGGTTGGCTGCCTCCATCCACACTAGCTACAGCCCTTGGGCATGGGCCAGGCCCTGGGAGAGCTGCTGAAAGAAGCTCCACCCCCACCTGTACACGATGCGCTCTCGATGCAGGTCCTCCAGCCCGCAGCAGATCTCAGCAGCATAGAAAACAGCACGTGCTTCAGGGAAGCCAGCCTGGCCCATGTGGTAGATGTGGAACTTGAGGTCACCTCCATTCATCAGCGTCAGCACTAAGCACAGTGCATCCTTGGTCTCATAGGCATAGGCTAAGCTCACCTGTGGCCAGAGAATTGGAGCCCTCAGGCAGGACCTGCAGGCCACCCGGGGGTAGGGCTAACACTAGCTGCCCAAAATATCCTTCTGGATGCCATTTCTTGGGGTTCAGCATGGTTCCCAGGACACCCTTCCTGGGCAATGTCCAGGGTGAGAAAGGGAGGCCTGGAGGGGTGGGGCAGGGTAGAGGGCAGTCCCTTTGTTGGTGGGGAGCGACTTCAGCCTGGTGAGTGGGGAGGGGAGGATGAGCCGGCAAGACCAACAGGAAGGGAGAGGTCTCCTTTCTGTACTTACTACAAACCTACTGTTCACTTTCTCCAGGATCTGCTTCTCATTAAGAGCCATGGCCTCCCCTTTCCGCTTCTTGATCCGTTTCTTCTCCAGCTTCTTGCAGGCATACATTTTTCCCGTTGCCCGCACCTGGCAGGCACACACCTGTGGCAGGGGTAGATGGCAAATGGAGGCCAGCATGCTCTTGGGGTATAGGGGCTGCTGCAGGTCCACCCTAGCCTGCCTTATATACTCTGCTGGGGCACTGGCCTGACCACTCACCTCCCCAAAGCCACCTTTGCCAAGGACTCGATACTGCCTGAAGGTATTTTTCGTCACTGGCTGCCTGTGGGCAAAGGTTAAGGGAGCAAATGTTGGCTGAGTAGGGCTCATGAACCAGAAAGAGCCTTCACAACCTGGCCTATCCTGGCTCAGTCTAGGAGGAGCTTACCTTTCCAGCCACTTCCACTGCAGGAAACGGTTGAAGTAGATGCTGTCGAGGTAGTCAGCAAAAGGGGCCATGCTCAGGTACTCATGGGTCAGCCTGTTGGAAGGACCAGCCCTCAGATCAGCCCCTGACACCCAGGTTCTTGGCTTGATGATCCAGGCCTCCTGTGATGTACATGCTCAGCCCACAAAGCATCATCCTTGGCTAACCCTCTGGATAAGCCACTGAGCAAGGAGCCATATATGTGGTACTGAAGTAAGGATGCTACAGAGACAGGAGGTCAACTGCCAAAGTTAAACAGTGGGTCAAGGCCAGGGCAAGAAGCTGAGCTATTCACAACCTTCTGGGCCCAGAGAAGCCCTGTCCTCTGGGTGTAATTCCAGGCTTGTAAGCAGGGAAGCTTACCGGGTCAGCTCCTGGAAGAGGTCTTTGCAGGGCCCCTGGTCCAGCCGCTGGGCACAGTTAGTCACCAGGTGCAGGGGGACCTCAGGGATGAGGTCAGGACCCTGGAGACAGGCCACAGACAGGTCAGTGCAGGGGCTAGATGGGCAGCTGCCCACTCCCTGGGCAGAGTTGCCAGATATCTCTGCTGGTAGCAGTGTGGCTGCTGGCAGGTGGTGTGGTGGCTGCCCAGCTGCTAGACTCCCTTCCTTTCCTCCCTTCCGAGGCAGGGGGAGGCAGAACTGTTGGCAGGCAGCCTGACCTGAGCTTGGGCCCCCGCCCCGCCCCGGACTCCATGCCCGTGGTGCTGCCTGGAGCAGCTCCAAGGCACTTACTGACCAGGCTGTGGTCACTCCTCTCCCTGTTGTCACTGAGCCCTGAGCCCAGCCTGCTGCCATCATCTCTCCATCACTGCTCACTCACCGTGTGGCTCAGAAAATTCTGCATTAGCCGCCGCCCACATGCCTTCCGCTTTTCATCAGGGGTCACCTCGTACTCGGCCTGCACAGTAGGAAACAGAGAAGCCTGGGGTCTGAACAGAGCAATGGGTGCAAGGGAACAGGGCACAGTGGTGGGGACCTCCACCTGCCTGCCCTCAGTGTTGCGCTGGTCCTGGGCAGGTTGCACTCACCACCCCGTCCAGGAAGGCAATGCAGCGAGTCAGCTCAGGCCTCGTGGTGCAGAACTCCCGGAACAGCAGGCGCCCAATGGGCTGCCGCTCACACAGACTGTGGTAGTCACGCTCTGTAGGCAAGATGGGAGCTGTTGGGGTCATGGTGCTGAAGCCCACTGGCAGGGCACTTCTGCCTACACTAAGTCCTGGGCCCTAACAGCTTCCAGCCCTGCGCTGTGGCAGCCATAACCTCCTTTAGTGCTCTCACCACAACCCTGAGGTAAGCAGTGTTATTCTGAACATAACCGGGGAGTGTTGGGTCCAGAGAGGTTCAGAGATTAGCTCAATGCATAGTCTGTCATGTCCTGGTTCACACAACTTGCATATGTCAGTGCTAGGGCTGGGTGTGGTCTGTGAGGTTCCAGCCCAGCCTGGGGCCAGGCCAACACCTGTTGCCTGCCTGGCGAAAGTATGAGAGGAAGTTGCGGCTTCCGGCGTGCTCTCAGCTGCCTCCTTCCCAGGCAGTGGAAGCAGCCATGGTATACTCTTTGCCCACACACAGGGCTTCAGAGGGGGCCCAGGAAACTTTAGGTGCAGCTCAGACCTTAGGATTCCATGATCATAAACAGGAACTGGGGGCCTGGGTCATTCTGTCCTCTCCCAGAAATAATCCTGTCACATTGCCCTGGGTTTGCTGGGGTGGGCTAGGTAGGACTGATAAGCACAGGCTGGGGGCTCTCAACATAGTCAATCTGGGGACACTGCCTCTGGCCAGGGGGCCCTGCTCCTGGTGGGCTGGCTCTCCCATCCTCTGCTTCTCTCAGCTGCCCCCAATTTGCGCCTGTCCTCCTCCCCATATTCACTTCAACTGACCAGTCAGCCTCTGTTCACTCTCTGCCCTCCACCCATCCGAGGAACTAAAATTGGACTGGGTGGTGCAGCCTCAACCTCCCTGGTCATTAGATTCCCCCAACCCTGCCCTTGCGCCCCAGGGCAAGGTCTCAGGGGAGGCTTCCCTTGAACCAAGGTCCCCTCTGCTTCAGTAGTGCTCAGTCTCCACCCAGGCCTCACCAAGACTGAGCCGCAGCTCTTCACACTGGCTGATGTGGGGGAACTGAAGCATCTGCCGCCATTTCTTGCTCTTGCCTTTGCGATTTCCACCTCCACCTGCAGAAGCAATCAGGCAGTGGGTCTCTCAAGCCCTGCTGCCACTGTGCCTTCCCTTGAACTGCAGTGTGTTCAGTGGCCTTCGGGGCCCAGTCAAGGCCCAGCCTGCCCTGGCAGGCACAGGGCCTTCTTCCACATGCTCCAGCATGATCTTCCTTGGTTCCAGGACACATATGGTCCTTCTGGGCTCTCCTGGTAGGGGCTGGCAAAGCCAAGGTAGGTAGTAAGGCCATTTTGGCAACAAATTTGGCCTCAGCTGCTTCCTCCTGAGTAGGAGTTACTTGAGTGAAGAAAATAGAAAGGGTATCACAGTAGTGGGAACTGCATAAATCAAGGCCCACAAGGGAGAAATTCTAGGTCTTATCAGGTATATGCTTGAGATGCCATGGGCAGAGGGCAGCCTGGGCCACCAGGGAGGCTCCCAGCCTCTACCACCAAGCTCTGCATCAGCTATTTTCCTTTGTCTCTCCCCACCCGTGAGCAAGGTGGTGTGGGAAGGCTGGCAGTCAGGATCCCTCATCCCCTACTCTGTATACAAGGGCTTCACTGCCACTGATGGTTGCCTTATTTTACCTAGCTGACCCCCTAATTGTAACTGGTGAGACCACAGTAGCAGCTGGAATGCCTACAGAGCCTGACAGGTACAGTAAATGTGGACCACATATAAGCCAACAGGGAGTGGTAGGGAGTGTAGTGAACTGGACCAGGAAATGACCCTTCCAATAGGAGCAGCTACAATACAACTCCTGAGGATTTCTTGGTTGCTGCTAAGAAGTATTGGCTCAGTGTGACCAGCTCTCCTAACTTTCCAAAAGCAGCTGGAAATCCAGACTGTCATGTGAAATACTGGTTCCTGTTTGAAAAAAAAACAACACAAAAACCCACTGCTGACAAATAAATAAAACATGTAAGAGAGCCAGTCAGATGTGGATGTGGCCTATGGGCCACCAGGGTGAGAATGGTAGAAGGGGACTCCCTTGGAGCCTCACAGACCTGGGTTTGAATCTCCAACCCACACTAAGCCCATCACTCACCCTCTAAGACTCTCAGTTTCTTTATGTATACTTCAGGGCCCAGGCCACCTCCAGAGGTGTTGTGAGGGTGAATAAGAAAGTCTGCAACCAGCACGGAGTAGAGCTGAAGCAAGAGATGGGCCCCAGCTCCAACAACTCAGTGGCAACACCTTCCCTTTCCTGGCCTGTTTCCCTCAGGTCTTCCCAGTCCTGTCTCTAACTAACCTGGGCAGAGGTAAGTGGTGTAGGAGGAACCACCTTCTAGGGAGGGGGAGGCTGGTGTCTCTCAACAACAGAGGGGCCTGGAGGAGGAAGTATTACAGGGGCCCCTTGAGAAACCTTCTGGTAGCCCTTCTGCAGCCCACACCCCATGTACTCCACAGTCATTGCTTCACTGTGAATGAGCAACAGACCTCCACCCCCTAGCCTAGAGCAAGGCCTCCCCAGAAGGGGAACTCCTCCCTCTCCCCGCGCAGGGTCCCTAACCCAACCCTCCATCTGCCTGCCTTCCCCCACACCAGTTACTTCCTCCTCCCCCTCCTCCCAGCCACATCAAGGCAGCAGCAAAGAATCACATGCAAATATCTTGTACTGGAACTGTAGCAGAATCTGTGGGGCTCCCCTTCACCCTACCCTGGTCGCCTTTCTCTTGTGCTCTGGGAACTGGGAAAGGAAGGACAGCCAAGTGAGGGCTCCCAGGCCCAGTGCAGTCCCATTTTGCCTTCACAACAACCACCAGATTGAGCCCAGTCTCATGACAAAACTGAGGGTCTGAGTGAAGGATCAGTTTGCCCATGATCACAGAGCCTAAAGGTAACAGGAGCAGGATTCAAACCCAGCTCCCACAACTCGAGTTTCTTTCCCACCTCTCATATCCCTGCCATTTACTAAGAGCCAACATACACATCAAGGGTTCCCAAATTGCTTAGGGACCATTTGAGAAGCTGACAAAGACCTTAGCCCCGAGCTGTCAGCCAGCTCACGAAATGATTTCAACACAGCCAGTCGACTGATCTGGGTTCAGGAATCAATGACAGTGAGGATTTCTTTTAGTCTTCACATCTCATTCCCTAATCGTTCCACAAAAAGGAATACAGAAGCTGGAAAAGAGACCTATCTAAAGCCATTCAAGTGGGAAAGGCAGAGCCAGGTGGGGATAAGGGTTCTCTACTGGAGGCATACGTCCTAGGCGGCCCATCCCATCCATACCTTGCCCAGGGCCCAACAAAGCTTATCTGAAGATGCTCACACTGTCTGGCTAGGCAAGGCAGTGCCCTCAGCAGGACTGAGGCTGAAGAGGCTATGGCCTTAGGAAGGGAGGCCTGGCCAGGCTCTCCACTCCTCCTCCCTGGCTGGCTGGATGACGAGGCAGAACAGAATCGGCAGATGCCCCCAGAGGCTGAGAGGAAGGCCCAGCCTCAAGTCTCGATAAGGGACAGGAGATAAGACAGGCACTAGGGACACAGCCTGCCATACTCATTTCCAGGCAGCACCTCCCCAGGGTGACACAAACTGGGTGGACAGAGGACACCAAGTGCTGTACCCAGCTGGGAGCTTCTTTCTCCTTCAAATGTATTGTACTGGACATTCTAGGTCCTATACCTAGGTCAATTACAATCTTCCTGTGTGACCTGGGGTTATTCTCTGGCTGAGCTTTCAGTTTCCCACCTGTAAAATGGGGCAGAAAGGTGAAGTAGTGACTCGTTCAGGCTGGGAGCCCAGCAAAAAGTGGAAAAAAAATGTCATGATCTCCAGGTCCTAGAGTTCCAAAAGGAAGTCTTACTCACTGATGGTCCCCCAGCATCCTGCACAGGGTGGGGCACAGTGCAGAGATACCCTGATTCCCTTACTGAGTTGGCTATGGCAGGCAGGTGAGGGGCAGACTTAACCACAGGGCAGGAAGGATCAGTTTTAGTTCTGTGTCCCTCAGGACCCTGACAGGGCAGGTGCTAGATAAAATCTGGAGAGCCATGAGGAGACAGATACACACACACACACACACAAACTGGGCCCTCCAGACTGGCTCCCCCAGTCAGGCCGTTGCACTTACAGTAGTCCTAACAGTCCATAATGCAGGGTTCCCAGTGATTTCTGTCTGCGTTTACCCCAGCAAATCATTGCCTTCCTGAGAGCAAAAATCGTGACCCATCCACCCCTGCCCCGACGTTTCTAGCAAGTGCCAGTCTGCTGGTTGCACATGGTGTGACCAGGAGTTTTCTTGACTCCAGTGGGCTATGCTATTCAAAGGCTCCGGTCATTCATTCTCCGACCTTTACCGAACACCAACTTTGTGCCGTCAGGGGTCTGGGCCTGGGGCACGTGGGGAATCTCCTCGCCTCTCACTTGGAGGAGGTCTCAGAGAGGATGGGGGGGGGGGCTCAGGTCCCACTCTTCCCTCTTTCCCTCGCCCCTTCCACGCCCCCTCCTTCCCCCACCCCGCCTCGAGAGTGGCGGCCTTACCCCCGCCCCTTCCTGGGCCCCAGCTCTCGGGGTCAGGTGCGGAGGAGGAGGACCATGAGCCGGAAGGGCTCATGTCTGCTAGGGGTTCGGGTGGTGGAGCCCGCGGCCCTAGGAGATCTGGCGGCTGGGGCGTTCAGTTGAGCTCAAAGGCCCTGGTCCGCGCTCCCAGTACCCGAGCCCGGCCACCCGCCGGGCTGCCTCACCTTCCCGGGCCTTGAGTAGCACCGTGTTCGCTACGATGTTCTCGAGCTCCATGGGCTGCAGCGGCGCCGGCTAACCGGACCGCGCCGCCGGCCGGGATCACGCGAGAGCCGGGGCCGGATGGCGATCGGCACGGCTCGGGTCGGCTTGGCTCGCAGTGACCGCGCCGCGGCCTCCCGGGCCTCCCCGGCCGCCACCGCCCGCCACGCACTCTCCGCCCCCTCCCGGGGGCCACCCGGGAGCCGGCCCGCCCCACCCCGCCCTCTGTTTACTTTGTTCAGCCAATAACCGAGCGGACGCTCCCCGCGCCGTCTTCCCATTGATCTGTCCACCACCGTCCCCGCCCTCTGAGCCGGGGATTTGTTCGAAGGGGCAGGTGGACGGGACTAACGCGTCACCTCTTCCTGGTTGGTCTGCGGGCGGGGTTCGACCCCTAGGTTCGAATTTCTAAGCCTTCGTAGGATACAAGACTGCCAATTAGCGCCCAGTCCTTCGCCTGCAAGACTGAGGTGGGTCCTCTGGGCCACGCCCGGGAGACCGGAGCTGTAATTGAATGAAGGAAGCGTCGGTCTTCCCAGTAAGGCATACTGATTGGACCATCAGCCGGGTCGTGGCCCGGGTGCCTTTGGATCGCGGAAAGCTTTTCTAGGGTTTTGTTGAGGCCAAGCTTGGTAACTTGCGGGCTTCCTGCGGGGCGGCCACGAGCAAGCTTAGGCCACGTGCCCCACCATATTGTCCGGAGACGGAAATGAGGAAGGCTGGGCGAAGGCTAGCTGTCACCACTTCGTCCTCCTGGCCTCCGGTTCGGTACCCTGTGGCAGCCCCGCCCCGCCCCCGTAGCCGGATGTTGTGATTTCTCCACCCACATTGCCTGGCTTGCCCTTGGCCTCTGCTGCCTTATAAGGCAGCGTTACCACCCCTAGACGAAGGGATTCACTCACACCCATTATACAGGTGGGGAGCCGAGGCGCTGGACATTAAGTGGTCGGCTCCAGACCAAGGTCTAGGGGGGAAACAAGGCCAAAATTTTACAGCTAACCAATACCTTCCATATATTCTAGATAATAGTCCTTTATCGGAATAGCTGGTTTTTTCTCTGTGGGTTGTCTCTTCACTTTGTTGGTGGTTTTTCTTGCTATGCGAAAGCTTTTTAATAAGATGAGGTCCCAATAATCAACACCTTCTAGCTCGACACCTCACTTCCTCCACCCCAAGTTAGCACAGCAGGAAACGGAAGCTTGCCCAAGTTCATCGAGTAAGACAGAGCTGGATTCAACTTGGCTTCTCTGTTCCTGTTCATTCATTCATTCGTACATTCACTCAAACATACTTAGAGCACCTGCTTTGTCCCAGGCTCTGAGCCAGTTGCTGAGGAATAGGTGGTGTCAGCAAGATAACCAAGCTCTCTGCTTGCATGCTCAAAGCGGCCAGGAGGGTGACATTTGAGTAGCCCAGGCAGAGGCAATAGCAAGTCCAAAAGCTCTGAAACTAGAATACATTTTTGGGGTTTTGTTTTTGTTTTTGTGTACCGGGGATCGAACTCAGGACCTTGCGCTTTTGAGGCAGTCACGGCACCACTGAGCCAAATCCCCGGCCGTAGAATAAGTTTAATGAGGAAGAAGTGTCCAGGGCCCAGTGGTCTGAGATGAGACTGGAGCAAAGGCACTGCTTTTTGTTTGTTTGGTTTTTGGTACCGGGGATCGAACTCGGGACCTTTTGCTTTCAAGACAGGCGGCAGAACCATTGAGCTAAATCCCCAGCCTGGCACTTGCTTTTTGACCACAGGGAGAAGTTTGTTAGGAAAAGTGAAATGTGAAGGCTTTGAAAGGATAGCTTACACTTTAAAAAGATCACTCTAATGGACTTTCACAAGCAGCTAAGATTGGAAGCAGAGAGAGCAGTTGAGAGGCTACAGAATTTCAGGAGAGACTAACAAGGTGGCAGTGGAGTTGGAGAAAACTGGATATACCTAGGGCACTCTTGAGAATTAAGAGAAAACCCCAGTGACCAATGGGACAAAGGGCAGGTACTTCACCCGAAGAAGGCTGTTGTGTTCAAATGAGACCTGAGGGTTAAATGAGAGTGTGTGTGTTCAAAGTTAATGGAGTGAGGCTGGGCATAGTGGCCCACACCTGTAATCCCTCACTCAGGAGACTGAGGCAGGAATGTTACAAATTCAAGACCAGCCTGGCCTGTATAGTGAGACCCTGTGTCAAAAAAAAAAAAATCAAGTTAATGGATGGGGAGAGAAAGAGCATCTAGATAGAGGGACACTGCAAGTTCCTATGTCTGTAGAGAGAGGAGACATGGGCTCCTGCATTCAGCACCCAAAGGTAGAGCATGAGGCTAGAATTTAAAGGGATAGGTTGGAGATCACAAAATGAGGCCAAGGCCTTAGGAGCTGCCTGGATTAAGGTGGTCCTTGGAAGCCATGTAAGGAGTTTGCATTTCATTTCCAAGGTAGAGGGGAGCCTTTGGGTGGGGAGGGGCAGATTTTAGGCAGAGAAGTAGTGTCATGATCAGATTTACTTTCCCAAAGGGCTCTGGGCTGCACTGTGAAGGTTGGGGTAGGAATTGAGGCAGAGGGCAGATTGGTAGATACCTGTTGTTTTGATTCTAAGCATCTGAACACCCTCCCATTTGGGAGGAATCCTATGAGATACAGAGGCAGCCTCTGCCTCCGATTAGGGAGATCAAAGGGGGAGACAGAATTTCCTGTCCTGGATCCCTAGTAGCTGTATCATGTTTCCAACCAGGTCTTTGAAGCCAAGCAAGAGTTCAACACAAGACATCAGTGGGATTGTGCAGAATTCATTGTGGAGGTAGTGGAGGGGAGAGGGAGGGAGTCAAGCAAGGCCTTCCCTTGGAGGGGGATTCAACAAGCACCCGAAAAGCTGTCCTGTCAGTTCCTTGTCTGCTTAAGTTACCTAGCATTGGCATGGTTGTCTGTACCTAAGTATTTTGAGGTACACTTAACCTTCTTTTAGGAGGAATCATTAGAGGAGTGACAGTGCCCTATGCTAGGGCAGTAGCAAGAGTGTGCAGACAAGTGGACAGATTGGGAGCTATCAGTCAAAGTGATGTCTTTTGAAAGGGAAATTTGCCACCAACCAATCTGAGATGTGCATTTCCAAGACTCTGACCTACAAATACCATTGCATTCAAGAAAAAGAAGAAATCCTCAAGGTTATTCATTGTAACATTGTCTGAAAAGATAGATCACATTAATTGCTCTTAATAGAAATAGGTTAAATACAATTTAGTCCTTTCCATACAGGAATATTATGCACCTGTTAAAAACTGAGTGGGCTGAAGGTGTAGCTCAATGGCAGATCATTTGGCTAGCATGTAAGAGACATGGGGTTTAATTCCCAGCATTGAAAAAAGAAAAAAATGGTGTGGGGTTGCTTCTGTACTTATATAAACAATTTCCAAGATACATTACAACTTTTTTTAAAAAACCAAGGTGTAAAACAGCATGTAAGGTTTGCTACCATTGTGTAAGAACAGTCTAGATAGACTAGGTTAAGCTGCAGTAACAAACCCTTCCCAAGTTTCAGTGATTTCAAATAACAAATTTGAGCCAGGCATGGTATCACATGTCTGTAATCCCAGCACTCAGGAGGGTGAGGGAGGAGGGTTGCTGTGAGTTTAAAGCCAGCCTCCGCTACATAGTGAGTTCAAGGCCAGTGTGAACTATATAGTGAGATCCCACACAACCACAACACTTTTTTTCTCATGTACAACTCAGGTTGTCTGGAGTGGGACAGCTCTCTTCATGGTAGGCCAGGACCCCAGAGTGATAAGGGATGATAGGGATTCATCTCAATTTGTGCTTCTACAATATCAGGCAGTAAAAGAAAAATATGGTAAATTAATTATACAATAGTCCTTCAAGCACAAGTTAGTTCTGCACACATTCCATTGGTCAAAGCAAACCACATGACTACAACTGCAGTGATGTGTCACTTAATGCCTAGGATACCTTCTAAGAAGGTCATCAGGTGATTTTGTCATTGTGTGAACCTTACGGAGAGTTCTTATCTGCACCTAGATGGTCCAGGCTGATCCTTCCACATGGCGCCTTGCTGCATTCAAGAGATTTGGTCGACACGAGATAGATGAGGCTGCTCCCAGCATCACATGGTACACTGTTGTACCATAAGCTTTTTTATAAGTATGAGTGCATTCTAAAATAGCCATAGGGCCAGGTTGCAGTAGCATGTGCTATAGTTCCTAGCTCCAGCTACTCCAGAGTCCAACACAAGAGTATTGCTTGAACCCAGGAGTTCCAGCCCAGCCTGGACAACATAGTAAGATTCCATCTCAAAAAATAAATAGGGGCTGGGGATTTAGCTCAGTGGTGCTTCATCTACCTCACAAGTGCAAGATCCTAAGTTTAATCCCCGTTACCCCCGCCAAATAAAAATAAAATAGCTGGGAATTTGCTCAGTGGTTCTGCCGCCTGCCTTGCAGGCACAAGGACCTGAGTTCTATCCCCAGTACCAAATAATTAAATAAATAAATAAATAAATAAATAAAATAACAATTAAAGTATAGTAAATGCATAAACCAGATACATAGTTGTTCATTATCACTACGAAATATCATCCACTGTACGTAAATAGGTTACTATTCTTTTTTTCCCCCATAATCCTGGGGATCAAACTCAGGATCTTAGGACCGGGGATTTAGCTCAGTGGTTTCGCTGCCTGCTGCGCAAGTGCAAGGGCCTGAGTTCAATCCCTGGTACAAAAAAAAAACCCCAAAAAACTCAGGACCTTGGATAAGGTAGGCATGTGCTCTACCACTAAGCTATACCCTAGTCTCTATCACTATACTTTTATAAGACTGGCAGCACAATAGATTGGTGTACACCAGCATTACAACAAACACATGAGTAATGTGTTGTGCTATGATGTTTTAACAACTATATGGTCACTGGGTAATAGGAATTTTTTAGCTTGACTATAATCTTATGGGACCACCATCCATTATTGATGGAAATATCATTATGCAGTGCATCACTGTAGCTATAAAGAGGTACAATCCTGCTTGGAAAGTCATATTTTCCAAAGATGAGTATAGCAGTATGCTCCCATCCCTCAGGCACTTCTGCAGTGTGACCTTGTCACTTCCATATGAAAAGATAAGAGTCTAATTTCCTTCCCCTTGAATTTGCTCTACCCTTCATGATTCTAGACATCAGTAGAATATGGTGCAAATGATACAGATCAAGGTCTGAGGCCAGGTCAGAAAAGGCCACACAGCACAGTTATCTTGAAATATTTGTTCTCTGGAACCTTTCCTTTGGGTTGCTCCCCTCAGAATCAAGCACTGCTGTGAGAAGCCCAAGCCAAATGAAGAGCCCACATGTGGCTGCTGTGCTGTGGATGACAATCCCAGCTGAGCCTAGCCTTCCAGTTTTCCCACCTCAAGCATCAGACCTATGAGTGAAGAAGCTTCCAGAACGTTCCAGTGCCTGGCCATGTAAGTAACCCTGGCCCGCTATTGTGGAGCAAACAGCAGTCATCCCTGCTGAATTCTGCCTGAATTCCCGATCCACAGAATCCATCAGCCTAAAAACACTCTTGTTTTAAGCCACTAAGTTTGAGTGGTGTTTTTTTTTTACACAGAAATAGACACCTGGCATAACTCCTATAGGCCTGGAAGGAGAATAGCATTGGAAATATTTGGTGAACCACACCAACGAGTGCCACAGATGAATTTGTTTATGTACCTGTGGACCACATCTGGAATCCCACAAGAGGACCCCAGAAATGCTGGCTGCCTCTGGGAAGGGGGAGTTAAGTGGCTGGGGACAGATGTAGAAAGAAGATTTTTATCTTATGCCCTCTTGAAACTTTATTTATGTATTTATTTATTTTTTGGTACCGGGGATCAAACTCGGGTCCTTGTGCTTGCACAGCAGGCAGCGAAACCACTGAGCTAAATCCCTCGCCCTCTCTTGAAACTTTAAATTTTGTTTTGTTTTGTTTTTTGGTACTGGGGATCGAATTCAGGACCTTGTGCTTTCGAGCCAGGTGGTGGCACCACTGAGCTAAATCCTCTACCCTTAACACTTTAATCTTGTATCATGTGCTTGGATTGCCTATTTTTCTTTTTTCTTTTTTTTTTTTGTACCGGGGATCGAACTCGGGACCTTGTGCTTGTGAGGCAGGCACTGGAACCACTGAGCTAAATCCCCGGCCCGCCTATTTTTATTTTTTAAAAACTTTTTTCTTTTGAGACAAAGTCTTACTGTGTTACCCAGGCTGGCCTTGAACTCCTCGGCTTCTGCCTCAGCTTCCTAAGTAGCTGGGACTACAAGCCTGTGTATCAATCATGGTGCTTGGCTGGATTGTCTGTTTTTAAAACAACCAACCTGATCCTGTCACTCTGTTGCTCAGGAACTTCCAGCAATTTCCTGTGGTGGCCAACCTCTAAGGTGTTCCAACCCTAATTATCTCTGCCACCTGGTATTCACACTCTGACTTTCTCCCCTCCCCTTGAACACGGGCTGGAAAGTGATAGCATATCATTTCCGAGATTAGATTACTAAAGGACTGTGGCTAACATTTTCATTTTCTGCAAACTCCCTTGCTGGTTCAGTCCTAAGGAAGCCAGCTCCATACTGTGCGCCGCTCTCTGGAGAGGGCTACAGCTAGGAACTGATGTCTCCAGTCAGCGTCCGAGAAGAACTGAACCTGCCAACAGCCTATGAGTGAACTTGGAAGTTAAACAGTACCCAGGCTTCTGACCAATAGAAATGGTGACACACACATATTTGTCATTTTAAACTGCCACATTTGGGTATAATTTGTTATGCAGCAATAGATAACTAAGACACTTCCCATTTCACTTAGAACTAGACAGGCTTGGTAGCATGTTCCTGCAATACTCAGCCTTTGGGAGGCTGAGGCAAGAGGATTATGAATTATAACCTAGTTTGAGCAATTTAGTGACTTAACAATGCCCTGTCTCAAAAAAAAAAAAAGAAAAAAAGACTGGGGATCCAGCTCAATACAAAAGCTCTGGATTCAATCTCTAATATAAAAACAAACAAAAATTAATAATAATAATAATAAAACTGAGCTATCCAGGGGCTGGGGATTTAGCTCAGTGGTGCCGACACCTGCCTTGTAAAAGCGAGATCCCCGGTTCCAAAAAAACCCAAACAAACAAAACTGAGCTATCCAGGCCTGGTGGCACAGGCCTCTAATCTCCAAAAATAAAACAAAATAAGATAAAATAAAACCTACTTGGGTGTGGTGGTGCACACTTGTAATCCCAGCACTTGGGAGGCTGAAGCAGGAGGATTCCTGCAAGTTCAAGACCAGCCTGGGTACATAGTCCGTTCAAGGCCAGCCTGAACTATATAGTAAGACCCTATCTCAAAAAGTAAAGAAGAAAAAAGAAAGAAAGAAAAAAACAGAAATGAACATGGCTTTATTTTACTTTGACAAGACAGTATAATTTTTTTTTTGGTACTGGTGATGGAGCTCAGGAACTTGCACTTGCAAGGCAGGTGGCAGAACCACTGAGCTAAATCCCTGGCCCAAGATAGTGTAATTTTAACCTTATTTATCTGTATGAAATTCCAGCAGTTAATTTGAACATTTATTTATATGATGTTTATTTTTTTAGGTCTTTTATATGGTGTTTCTGAAACCTCTCGTTTGTAACTGCGTACATTATTCTTGAAACTAGGTAAAACTCACTGAGTCATTATGTTAGCCTTTTTATTGCCTGTATAAATGTACATTAATCCCAACACTCGGGGAGGCTGAGGCAGGAGGACTACACAGAGTTTGAGGCCAGCCTGGGCTACATATGGAGACCCTGTGTCAAAAAACCAAAAATGAATAAATAAACAAAAGACACACACAAATTCCTCCTAATGACCTCCAAAGAACTAACTTGATCTGGTTTCATTTACCTCTCCAGTGTTATCGCACTCCTTCTCCTTCTCGCTCAGTGTGCAGGAGCAGCCACACACTGACCTTCTGTGACTGCACTGTCCAATACTGTAGCCCTTAGCCACATGTGGCTGTTTAAATTTAAATTGATTAAAATAGGTCCAGGGATTTAGCTCAGTGGGGCCACTGCCTGCCTCGCAACCACAAGGTCCTGAGTTTGATCCCTGATACGAAAAAAAAAAGAAGATAAATTAATTAAAATAAAATAAAAATTCAGGGTGCCGGGGATTTAGCTCAGTGGTTCTGGTGCCTGCCTCACAAGCGAAAGGACCCAAGTTCAATCCCCAGTACCAAAAAAAAAAAAAATTCAGTTCCTCAATCACACTAGGCCACATTTCATGTGTTGTCTTTTTTCTTTTGGTACCGGGGATCGAACTTGGGTCCTTGCGCTTGTGAGGCAGGCACCAGAACCACTGAGCTAAATCCCTGGCCCTAGGCCACATTTCAAGTACTCAACGGTCACATGTGACAAGTGGCTGCTGTATGGGAAAAGACAACAGAGAACACTTCTAGCACCACAGAAAGTTCTGTCAGGTCAGGCAGGACTGATCTGAAGGGAGTGGTTTCTACTTGTGAGCAGACCCCACTGTGACAGTCAATTTTAGTATATGTGCTACCGAAACAAGCACTTTTTTTTTTTTTTTTTGCTGTACCAGGGATCAAACTCAGGACTTTGTGCTTTTGAGGCAGGTATGGGGGAGCCACTGAGCTAAATCCCCAGCCCCCCACACGGTGAAAAAGCTACTATTATTGCCCCCAACAAAAGAGTGAAGAATGGCAGGCAAGGGGCCGAGGATTTAGCTCAGTGGTTCCGGTGCCTGCCTCAAAAGCTCAAGGTCCTTAGTTCTATCCCTGGTACCAAGGGAAAAAAAAAAAGAATTAAGAATGGTAGGCTAGATATTGTTTGTTTCCTCAAAATTCATTCTTATTCTCATTCTCTCTCTCTCTCTCTCTCTCTCTCTCTCTCTCTCTCTCTCTCTCTCTTTCTCCCTCTCTGTTCAGTATGGGGATTGAACCCAGGGGTGCTCTACCACTGAGCTACAGCCCTAGCCCTTTTATTATTTTTAAATTTTGAGACAGGGTCTCACTAAGTTGCCCAAGCTGGCCTCAAATTGGCAATCCTTCTGCCTCAGCCTCTTGAGTAGGTAGGATTAAAGGTGTGTGCCATTATGCCCACCTCCCCCAAATTCTCTCTGAACAGAACAGATAATTCTGCAACCTTTTGGAATCTGTGCTCAAGTCTCTGCTACAGAACAGGGCTTGTTTTGTCTATGTATATATAGGCAGCTGTGAGTAGAACCCTGCTGGTCTCATCTCAGATCCCCACAGCTCAGCTATAGAAAGAAGCCAGGCCAAAGAGATGGTGCCTTTCTGCTCTGATCCAAAGCAGTTGATGGAAGAGATTCTGATATGCAGGGAAATAGGAACAAATGTGCAGAAATTTCTGTGGAGAGTGTGTGTATCCATATGCGAAAGTTTCTTAGCAAACTTCTATAGATGAACAGCAACCAGCCTCTGCTTTTTCACATACATTGCCATTCCAACATTTCTGCCCAACAGCACAAGTGCCTACTGTTTCCTGAAGTGCTGTGGCAATTGCCAGGCACAGTGGCACAGTGTGGCAGGCACACACCTGTAATCCCAGCTTCTCAGGAGGCTGAGGCAGGAGGATTGCAAATTTGAGGTCAGCCTGAGCAATTTAGTGACTTAATGAGACCCTGTCTCAAAAAAGGGGGTGGTTCACAAGTGTGAGGTCCTGAGTTCAATCCCTGGTACCAAAAAAAAAAAAGGGGTGGTGGTGAGGAGGTAATGCAGTGGTAGAGCCCTTGCCTAGTGTGGCAAGGCAAAAAAGTGTGGCAACTAAGGTCTAGAGAGTCTGAGCTCCTTCCCCACATCACACTGGGATCAGTGGTCAAAATAGGATTTGAAAGTTTCTTGACCCAAGTCCAATTCATCTCTACTCTGTTCCTAAAGTCATTATTTTCTTTTCCTTTAAACTATTGACTTACACAACTGATAATGAGGGGGTTTGTTTTGTTTTGTTTTGCATCAGGAACTTCCTGGTAACAGTATTTGAACTCTTGCATCAGTTGAGACTTTTGGTTGTAACTGAAGCTGGCCTAAGCAAAAAAAGAAATTTATCCTCTCAAGTAACTAAAAAGTATAGGTGGTGGTTCTACTTCAAATGTCTCTGGATCACCCAATTCTCAAATAGTGTCATTCTAAATCTGTCTTTCACATAATATGCCTGTGGGGTGTTTTCGTTTTTGTTTTGTTTTAGTGCTGAGCCTTAAATCCAGGGCCTTCTGTGTGCTAGGCAGGTGTTCTACCACTGAGCTATATGCCCAGCCCTCTGACTCTGCTTTTAATTTATTATATTTATTCTCAAAGTGGTTCTCCATCTGATATTGATAGATAGCTGCCAGCATCCCCAGGCTCTCTTGCTACACTTGTCCCAACCTCTGTGGTAGACAAAGCCTCTAAATTGATAATTCCATCAAAAATCCTGGGGCTGCTACTCATTGGTTTGATTTGGGTCAGCTGTTTACTTTGAAACAATCATTGAAGACAGAGAGAGGTGGTATTCTGATTGGCCAGGTCTGGATCACATGCCCCCTCCACCCTCAGCAAATGGATGGGGTAAGCTTTATTTTATCCATACTGATGGAGGAGGGATGGATGATTCCTCTGCCTGACCAGACTTCCAAGTCATTTTGGCATCCTTGGATACAGAATCCTGAGAGAGACAAATTGTTTCTTGAGTTTAGGTCTCTCTGACTATGGTATGGCAGGGAGAGGTCTATCTAGTCGGTTAGGCTTCCATAGTGGGAGATGATCTCTAGAAATCACCCTTTCACCATGCAAATGGGGAAGGGTGACTCACAGATAGAAATTGAGTGGCTAGAGGAAAAGGGAATAGACAGCGGTTGTCCAAATGCCCATGAGTAAGCTGCTTTGGTCCCAGCGGGCCTCATGCCTCTTCTTGCACTTCCTTACAAGGCACCCTGGGCTCACACATTCCTCATTTCACATGCTGCATGACCTGTACTGTGGATTACTATGTTACTCACCCTGGGAGCCCTTTCCTCCCTGTCCCACCTACAAAGCCCTGCACATTAGCAAAGCTGTTCAAAAGGCCCTGTCTGTTCTTGGGCAGAGCTGGTTTCTCCCTAGGAGGAAGGAGCCAGGGTGAGTCTGGCCCTGGGGAAAGGTCTATCCTCAGGTGCAATCAAAAACTGACAAAAGTGCTTTCACTTTAATGGGCTCCTCCTATATTTCATAGTTTTGTTTTCATCATGGACTTAACAGCTGCCATTCCAACGTGTTCCCTTTGAAATCAGTGGTGGAAGAGCTGCCCCTAATCCTCCTGCCTTCCTTTTGCTGTGTTCCTGTCCTAAGAAGTCTTCAAACAGCTCTCTTCTTTGTAGCAGAATTACTAAATTGCTAACATTCTGTCTTCATTTTTCATAAGTTACCTTGTGTCAGTGAGGACTCCTTTGATTGAGGGTCAGAAGTCTATTCAAATTGGTTTTATTGGCTCATATAATAAAACTTTTTTTTTTTTTGGTGCTAGGGATCAAACCCAGGACCTTGAATATGCCTACACTTCCAGACTGTATGACTGAGAAGTCCTCAAAAAAAAAAACAAAAAAAAAAAAACAGTCTTGCTGTGTAATACAGGCTGGCCTTGAACTCATAGTCCTCTTCCTCAACCTCCTGAGTGCTGGGATTATAGGTCTGTGCCACCACACTCAGCTATAACTGAGAAGTCTAAAGGGACCAGATGGAATAGTACATGGTTGTAATCCCAGCTATTTAGGAGGCTAAGGCAGAAGGATCACAAGTTCAAGGCCTGCATAAGCCATTTAGCAAAATCCCGGCACAAAATTTTAAAATTATTATTATTATTATTATTATTATTATTATTATTATTATTATTTTGAGACAGGTTCTCTCTAGTCCAGGTTGGTCTTGAGCTCACTTTGGAGCCCAGGCTGGCTTCAAACTCATGGCAAGCCTCCTGTGTCAGCCTCCCAAGTGCTGGGATTACAGGTGTACATGACCATGCCCAGCTTCAAAATAAACAAAATTTAAAGGGGTTAGTGTACATCTAGGCTCTCATTGTCATCAGAAATCAACCCATCAGTATTATTTCTCAAATGTTGTATAACAAATTACTCCAAAATTTATGATTTAAAACAACAGCAACCAATGACCACTTCTCAATTTCTTTTTTTTGTTTGTTTGTTTGTTTGTTTTGGTACGGGGGATCAAACTCGGGACCTTGCGCTTGCAAGGCAGGCGCTGGAACCACTGAGCTAAATCCCCGGCCCACCATTTCTCAATTTCTGATGGCCAGGAATTCAGGAGCAGTTTAGCTGGATGATTGTAGCTTGAGGTCTACTATGGTTTGTAGATGATTGAATGTTCCCCAAAAGTCCATGTATTGGTTCCCAGCATGTTTGTGGTATTGGGAAAAGGCATGGGCCTTTGGGTGGTGGGGCCTTCGTCACTGAAGGCATTACCCTTGAGGTGGATTATGGAGTTTTCTAGTAGAATCTTAGTTCTCACAAAAGTGTTGTTAGAGCCAAGCCTGACCTCTCCTCCTCTCTCTGGATCAATATTCAATAGCTTGCTCCCACACAGGTCCCATTTTGATCCTCCATAAGGTGACTCAGCTAAAGAGAACCCTCATGAAAGCCTAGCCCCTAGGCCACGCTGTTTGGACTTTCGGCCTCCCCAAACTGAAAGTTAAATAAATCACTAGACTTCATAAGTTATATTCAGATATTTTATTATAATAATAGAAAGCTAATACAAGAAGATTACAAGCTACATGTCAGTGAGGGCCACAGCATTCACATGGAGGTCAAATTGGTGCTAGTTGCTGGTAGGAGGCTTTACTTTCTTGCCACATGGGCCTCTGCATGCTGCCTGAGTGTTCTCACAGTGCAGCCACCAGGTTCCCCCAGAGTGAGTGTTCCAAGCACCAAGATGGAAACTTCAATGCCTTTTTTTTTGGTACCGGGGATCAAACTCAGGACCTTGCACTTTTGAGGCAGGTGCAGCGCCACTAAGCTAAATCCCAAGCCACTTCAATGCCTTTTATGACCTGGGCTTGGAAGTCTAACACCATCACTTCTGCAAATTCTACTGGACACACAGTACAGCTCTGGTTCAATGTGAAAAGGGGCTATACTAGGACATGGATAGGTGAGAATAAAGCAGTGTCTTCTTAGAGGCTGCCTGCCACAGCATTCCTCTCCCCTTCTTTCCCTGTTTTCTTTGCTTTTCCTATGAGTAGCCTTCATTCTCAGACAGACGAAACACACACACACACACACACACACACACGCGCACACACACACACGCGCACACACACACACTCACAGCCAAAAGTAACAGGGAAGGCCACCAATATCTACAGCCCTACAGCCTACAGTCTACCTGCTTACTGATTCCAGTAGAAAGAAGTACCTCTTTCCTTAAAGTTCTGGCAAAAGTCCCAAGGCAGACTGGTTGGCCTAATTTGTTTTTTTGTTTTTTTGTTTTTTTTCTACCAGGGATTGAACTCAGGTCCTTGCGCTTGCTGGTCAGGCTGTGGAAGCACTGAGCTAAATCCCCAGCCCTGGCCTAATTTGTTTTTATGCTTATCTCTGAACCAATCATTGTGGGCTAGAGATGCCATGCTCTGATTGGCTACACTTAAGCCCATGTTATGTGCTGATTGGCCAGACACAGGCCACATTTCCCAGCCCTAAAACTGAAGGTAGGGTTGGCAGCACTAGAGGCGGGTGGAGGAAGTGAGGAAGGGATAGTTCCTTGTCGGAAAATCAAGGTGTCACCATTGAACCAGAATGAATGCTGGGCAGGAAACACTGTATCCTCACCTCTTCTTTTTCCCTGTGCTCCAACTGTACCTTTAAGTGCATCAGTTTAGCACTTTTCTCATGGCATTGGTAGAATTCTAAGATGGTCCTAATATCTCCACCCCCATTTATGTGCACTTCTCCCAGTTATTCAGTTAAACACTGATCCAGGTTTTCTGTAAAATACTTGTGTTTTTTGGTTCTGGGCATGAGCTGGGGTTCACATGCTAGGCAAGTGCTTTACCACTAAGCCACATCCCCAGCCCTTCTGTAAAATGTATTTTGCAAATGTAATTAAGGTCTCCATCAGTTGACCTTAAAATAGGAAAATTATCCTTGGTGGGCCACGCCTAATCAAGTGAGCCCTTAAAAGAGATACATTTTCCCTCTGGCAAAACAGATTCAAAGTATGAGAGATTCAACACAAGGGAGAGTGTCTTTTGGCTTTGAAGTTGAAGGCAGCACATGGAAGAAATACAGGTGACATCTAGGGACTAAGGGTGGCCCCCCTGGCTGATAGCCTGCAAGGAAACAGAGAACTCAGTCCTACAACCACAAGGAACTGCATTCTACTAATAGCCTGAGTGAGCTCAGAAGTGACTCTTCCCCAGAGACCCCAAAGAACTCAGTCTTGATCTTACCTTTGTAATACAGTATTCTGAGCATAAAAGCTAATTACATTTTTACCTATGAATTTGTGAACCAATAAATGGGTATTGTTTAGGCTGCCAAGTTTGTGGTCATTTGCTATGCAGCTATAGAAAACAAATATACTTCCTGATGGACCCTAAGATTCCTAAAATAGGGGCTTCTCTTTGATTGCCTTAACCCTCTGATCCCCAATAGGAACTGGGACACAAGACTGTCCTTAGTGCTGAGTCGAGTCCCACTATCCAGAAGACAGGGAGAATGCAGCTTTTCATCATTCTACCCCCAGGCCCCCCATCCTTCCCTTGGGGCTCCAAGGAAGCCGTTCTGCTTGGCTTTCCACAAACACCCTGTGCCCCAGTGGGGCAACTTGACCAACTTTCAATTCCCAAGCCTCAGGGACCTTTGACCAGCCCAATTGATCTGGAGTCCTGGGCAGGCAGCTGGACCAACAGACAGACGCCATGAGGGCTCTACTGCTCCTGGGGTCCCTGCTGGTGAGCCTGGAGTCGGCGCTTTTGGTGAGGGCTGTGGGAACTAGGATTGGGCCAGGATGGCCTTGGGGGTTCCATTGGCCTCTGCCTATAATCTGTTCACTCAGGTGACTGGGAGGCCTGTGGGGGAAGGTGTATCCTGGCCAGAAGGCCCAGACAGAGGAAACACACAAACCAGAGCTGGCAGATATGAGAACTTAACCTGTCTTTTTGGGGGAGAGAGGGCCCTAAGGAGACAATGGGAGGGGTAAGGAGAGGTTCAGATCTTGTGAGGAAGCCTCTGCATTTCTGAGCTGTGATAGGAAGGCAGGGACTGGTGCAGGATTAGGGGCAGGTTATGACTTTCTAGGCAAATCACCTGCCTTCTTACCTCTGTAGGCTCCACCACCTTGGAAAGCCCCCAGGGAGCATAAGCACAGCGGAGAGGAGCTCACAGTGGGTAAGTGGTCTGACTCCTCTCCTAAGACACCCTTGGGGGGATGAGTATAGTGGAAAATGTGCAGTCTCAGGGTGGCCTCAGGCCCTTGGAATGAGGGGACAAAGTGATTCTGAGGACAGAGTGATTTCGCTGACATTCAGACTTGAGTTCCTACAATGCTAGGTATTGGGCCATGGGTGCTGGGGGCTCAGAGTGATACTGAGCTGCATGCTCCTTGAGGCCAGGGCTTGGGGTATATCTGAGTGCCCCATCTAGAGCCTACCTCAAGCAGGTGCTTGGAGTAGCTGCTGTTGATGCCATCATGCCTGGGTTCTTCCTCTGTATCCCACCCTTCTTTTCCTTTTCACAACGTATCTCAGGGGCATTAGTCATAGCATACAGGGCCCTGAATGGGCAAAGGGTGATCCAGACAGGGCTCCAAATCTCAAATACCTCTGCACCTGCTTCATCACTGATGAGCTGGGTGATTCTGAGTGAGTGACTTGACTTCTGTGTGCTTTAGTTTCCCCATTTGTAAAACCAGTCTGGTAATAGTAAACCTCTCATGGTTGTTTAGAAAGAAAAATGAGTTGTTGAGCCCTGTAAGGCACTGAGTCCAAAGCTTGGTGTTTGACAAATACTTTAAAAATCTTAGATTTTGAAAAAAAAAAAAAATCCTAGATTTTGGATCTGGGCATGGTGGCATATGCATGTCCCAGCATTTGGGAGGCTGAGGCAGGAGGATCGCCATGAGTTCGAGGCCATCCAGGACTACATAGTGAATTCAAGGGCAGCCTGATTTACATAGTGAGACCTTGTTTCAACCAACCAACCAACAAACTAACAACCCTCCCAAAAAAACCGTTTGATGGGCGGGGATTTAGCTCAGTGGTTTCCTGCCTGCTGTTCAAGCACAAGGACCCGAGTTTGATCCCCAGTACCAAAACAAAAAAAACCCCAAAATACCTATTTAATTTTGGGCTGGTCATACAGCTCAGTGGGAGAACACTTGCCTTGCATGAGCAAAGCTGCTGGTCTGATTCATAGCACTGCAAAACAAGCAGACAAATAGCTCGTATTATAAAGCTCCCAAGGGCCGGGGGTTTGGCTCAGTGGTTCTGCTGCCTGCCTTGCAAGTGCAGGGTCCTGAGTTCGATCCCTGGTACCAAAACAAAAAAAAACCCATAAAGCTCCTGCTTACACGAGGGGCACCTGTCACTTCTCCTTTCCTCAAACCTTACCATAGCCCCACATCGCCTTCATTCTATCAGGCATTACAGACATACCCAGAGTGGCCAACGTTCTGGGGCTTATGAACTAGATGGACCCCGCTCTGATGACACTGGCCTAGTGGGGTCAACCCTCAGTCCACAGCATGTTGAGGCCCAGACCAATGTGAACCTGGACTTCTGCAGCGTCTTTTCCTCACCCCTCACCAAGGCAAACTACTCTCCTTCTTGCCTGACCCAACAGTAGTGCCGTCATTCATTATTTTCCTTTTGGTTTGCACCCAGCTATTGCCCTGTCTTTTCCTAATTGCCTACCAGTATCCACTTCCTCTCTGTCCATCCCATTTACATAACAGAGGTCTGGCTCAGATTCCTCTGTCCCTCTGTATTGTCCCGACCTCATTTTGGCCCTCAGCAGGTGCTACTTACTATGCCTTTAAAAACAGAATAGCAACAGATGTTTATTGAACACATACTACTGTGTCAGACATACAAGGTTTTATAGGTATTATCTCTCAGCTCCACAACATTCCTCTGAAGTAGACACAAGCAATTCTTACTATTCACAGTGGTTATGTTCTTTCTTTCTTTTTTTTTTTGTACTGGAAATCAAACTCAGGACCTTGGGCTTGCCAGGCAGGTGCAGTGCCACTGAGCAAAATCCCCGGCCCTCACAGTAGTTATGTTCAATAAAGTCACCATGAACATCAAATTCACAAATACTGTTAGGTTCCCATGAGCCTCTGATTATAACATTTTAGTCAACCATCAACATGTAACCTTGTTTTTTGTGTGATTCTGTTTAACATTGACCTCACAGCCAACAGCACTATAGCCCATGGCTGAACAAAGCTTCTCTAACACACATTTTCTCCTTAAGTCACATGGCAGCCTTCTTGCATCAGGAACACAGCACTTTGGGATAGGCACAGGGGCCATTTTGAATGGCAAAATTACCACAAAAAGCACAAAATGTGAAGAAAAACACTGCACTAAATAGATTATGACAAAGGACATTTGTTTACAGCATGAGAGCTGAAAGAGGAAAGCAGAATGTCACCTTGTTGGAACTTAGCTGGGAATGTACACATTTATCACCGCTTTGTGTGTGCCCACAAATCATCATGAAAGCATTGCAAGTACTTGGTTGGTTTTTTTTTTTCACCGCTGGGACCAAACCCAGAGCTTTGCATATGTTAAGCAAGCATTCTACCACTGAGCTACACCCTCAGCCCAAATTCCAAGTATTGACTTGGGGGTTATAATAAATTGTAGCAGATTTGTCAATACAGAATTGGTGAATAATAAGGATTGGCTGTATTATTATTGTCATTTTACAGATGAGGGAACCAAGGCTCAGAATGTTTATGTGACTTCAAAGTTCCACAAACATTTATTAAGTGTCAACTCTGTGGCAAGCATTCTTCTAGGCCTTAGGGCTTCAGACTTGCCCAAAGTCATGCAGCTAGCAAGTGGTAGAGTCAGTAGTCTACCCCAGCCATCTAACTCCAGAACCCAACTACTTTTTTTTTGAGGGGGGAGGTAGATAAGATTTGATATATAGCTCAGGCTGGTAGTGATCCTCCTGCCTCAGCTTCCCAAGTGCTGAGATTACAGGTATGCACCACCCTGCCCACCTTAGAACCCATCTTCTTCAGCAGGATGCTTCTTGAGTGCACAACCGTTTTTTTTTGGTACTGGGGATCGAACTTGGGACCCTGCGCTTTCAAAGCAGGCAGCAGCACCACTAAGCTAAATCCCTGGCCCTGCACAACCTTTTAGAGGGTCTATCCTTTTTCCAATCACTGTGAGGCACAGACTGGGCAATTGGGCTCAGGGAAAGTCCTCAAGGAGTGTGTTATTCCTCAGGTCTTACTGTCACTGGGGAGCCCTGCCATTTCCCCTTCCAGTACCACCGGCAGCTGTACCACAAATGTATCCACAAGGGCTGGCCAGGCCCCCGGCCCTGGTAAGAGAGGGTTGAAGCAGGCCCTGGGAGCAATGGATTGTGCACTCCTTCTGTCCAAGGCACCCTGCTAAGAGAAAGGGGGCTATGATAGGGGAGGGTGGGCTAGCCCCTGGGCAGAGCAGGGAAGCCTCCTCTGTTTCTACAGGTGTGCTACCACCCCCAACTTTGATCAGGACCAGGAATGGGGATACTGCCTGGAGCCCAAGAAAGTAAAAGGTATGTTCCACGGCATCTGGGTGGCCCAGGGCCCTCTCTTCCTCCCAGTTCTTTTCCTGGGTATCATTAGACCTCGCATACCTGGGATTCTGGGCTCAGGCCCTTCCCTCCCTTAACAATACCCTTTAGAAGCCCATAAGGAGAATTCTGAAGATAGCCTGGTTTTGCAGATGAGTAAACTAAGACATGGCAACTTGGACTCAAAGTCCCATGGCAAGGAGGTTCAGGTAGGGCTTGGCCCTAAGCTGTGTGATTCATGCTTCCTCTTGGCTTCCATCTCTAGACCACTGCAGCAAACACAACCCCTGCCAGAAGGGAGGGATCTGTGTGAATACACTGAGCAGCCCCCACTGCCTCTGTCCAGAACACCTCACTGGGAAGTACTGCCAGAGAGGTAAGGAGGGGACTTGCCAGGGGAGGGGACACTGGGGAACAGAGGCAGCCCTGAAGAGGTTCCTGTGGGTGGGACTCTGCATGGTCCCAGCCACTGTGAAGACCACATCCCCTTTATTCCCAGAGAAGTGCTTTGAGCCCCAGCTTCTCCGATTCTTCCATGAGAACGAAATATGGCTTAAAACTGGATCAGCAGGTGTGGCCAAATGCCACTGCAAGGGTCCTGATGCTCACTGCAGGCCAATGGCCAGCCAGGGTAAGGGGACCAATTGGGAACTGGCTGGGAGGAGAGCTGAAAGTCAAGAGAAGCCAGCAGGAAACTGGGTGGTATGCCAAGGGGTGGCTGCATTTGCCCCATCCCCAGCCTGCCGCACCAATCTGTGTCTCAATGGGGGCCGCTGCCTAGAGGTGGAGGGTCACCGACTGTGCCATTGCCCGATGGGCCACACTGGTCCCTTCTGTGACTTGGGTGAGTGATGGTCTCAGCAGGAGAGCCCAGCCCACGTGGGAAGGGCTTGCCCAGAAGGACAAGGGACAGTGGAGAAGTGGGTTTGAGGTGGGGACAGAGCCCCCTTTCTCCCTAGACACTGAGACGAGCTGCTATGATGGCCGCGGGCTCAGCTACCGCGGCATGGCCAGGACCACTGTCTCGGGCGCAGCGTGTCAGCGGTGGGCCTCGGAGGCCACCTACCGGAACATGACTGCAGAGCAAGCGCTGAGCCGGGGAGTAGGCCACCATGCCTTCTGCCGGTGCACAGGGTGGGGCGGAGCAGGGCATTTCCCTTCCCCAAGGACTTCGGGTTTTCCCCAAGCCCTAACAGCGCCCCCTCTTGAGGTTACAGGAATCCAGATAATGACACCCGCCCTTGGTGCTTCATCTGGAACGGCAACAGGCTCAGCTGGGAGTATTGCGACCTGCCACAGTGTCAGACCCCACCCCCGGCATTGTCTACACCCCAGGTTCACCTCGGGCGTCAAGACCTTCCCAGGCCCGGGCCTTCAGTATTGCAGAAACTTCCGCCCACGTCCCTGGCCCCAGGTATTTGGAGGGAAGGGGAAGTCCTAGCAGTGAGGGAGCAAGGCCAGCTAGACTGCGGGTATGGGTCTCCCTGACCTTCTCCCACAGCCTCGGGGGACGAACTATCCAGGACCAGCTCGGTTCTCTGCGGACAGCGGCTCCGGAAGCGGCTGTCTTCTCTGAGTCGTATCGTCGGCGGACTAGTGGCGCTGCCTGGGGCGCACCCCTACATCGCCGCGCTGTACTGGGGTCACAATTTCTGCTCCGGCAGCCTCATCGCCCCCTGCTGGGTGCTGACTGCGGCTCACTGCCTTCAGAACAGGCGCATACCCACCCACCCAGCTCCCCTCCGGAAACCTAACCAGCCCATTTATCCCTGAGCCTAGCTTCTGCCCCGCATCTAAGCCTGAGCCTGCACCCTCGCCCTCCCCCTCTCCCGCCCCTCCGGAGCCTCCAGGAGCTCCCCCAAACGCCAGGGGCTGGATCTGAGCGCTGCCTCTCCTATCCGGCCCGCAGGCCAGCGCCCGAGGAGCTGACGGTGGTGCTCGGCCAGGACCGCCATAACCAGAGCTGTGAGCACTGCCAAACGCTGGCCGTGCGCTCCTACCGCCTCCATGAGGCCTTCTCATCCATCAGCTACCAACACGACCTGGGTGAGGGCAAGCGCCTCTGCGGGGAGGGGAGAAAAGGGGGGCGGGGCCCCAGCGTCCCCGCCTAACACTCCTCCCCGCCTGGGTTAGCTCTGCTGCGCCTGCAGGAGAGCGCGGATGGCAGCTGCGCGCGACTGTCGCCTTACGTGCAACCCGTGTGCCTGCCCAGCGGAGCCAGCCCACCCTCCGAATCCGAGGCTGCGCTCTGCGAGGTGGCCGGCTGGGGCCATCAGTTCGAGGGTAGGCAACAGCTGGTGGAGGTGTGGGGACGGGAGACGTCAGGACACAAAAGTAGTCCAGAGAAGCCCGCAATTTTGGTATCGGCCAGGGTGCCTACAGGAGCGGTGGCAAGAAAGGCCCTTGTTCTGTAGTCCGCCCTTCCCAGTCTTCGATACACTGTTGAGGTGCCCAGATCTCCTGGGGTTACAAGGAGAACCGCACTTTCTCCTGGTTCCCTCTGGGGGGCTGGGCTGCAGGGACGACTAGGACGCTGTCCCCACGCTCAAGCAGCGAGTATGGTGAGGTACTTTGTGAGCCAGGTTCTGCGATGCTGCTTGGGAGGTGCGGATGGGCTTCCTGCTTCGGCCCCGCCCATTCAAATCCAGACTCCGCTGTGGGCCTATTTTCTTGCCTATGAAATGGAGTTAACCGGAGTCTCCCTCCCTCTCCTGCCCGCTGTGATGGAGAAACGCCATGGCTGAGAGTAGGAGCTTCCGTGCTGTCTGGACTGGTGTGAAGAAAGTGCTCTGGGTTCGCAGGGGCGGAGGAATATTCCACCTTCCTACAGGAGGCACAGGTGCCCTTCATCTCCTTGGAGCGCTGCTCCACCACGGAAGTGCACGGAGACGCCATCCTTCCTGGTATGCTCTGCGCTGGCTTCCTTGAGGGCGGCACGGACGCGTGCCAGGTGAGCCCTGGGGCCTGGTTAGTGCCTCCCCCAAGCTCGCCAGGAGCAGGGCGAGGGCGCTGAGGTGCGTGTTCCTGACCCAGGGTGACTCCGGGGGCCCTCTGGTGTGCGAGGATGAGACGGCAGAGCACCGGCTCACCCTTCGAGGCATCATCAGCTGGGGCTCTGGCTGTGGCGACCGAAACAAGCCGGGCGTCTACACTGATGTGGCCAGCTACCTGACTTGGATCCAGAAGCACACAGCTTCCTGATTGCCCAGGGACTCATCTTTCCCTCCTGGGCGATTCCAGAGTGGGAAGATGTGGGGCATTATCATGGATAGTAAAGATGGTGTCACTTTCCTTTCACCAGCCAGGCTATGGGGTGTAGGAACTCAATAAAGGGCTTTCCAAATGCTTCTCAGGAAATGCCAAGAGAGAAAACTGGTTCGCAGCCAGCACACTACCCTCACAGAACAGGATGTGTGAGATCTTAACATGAGAGCTTTAGATTGCAGTATAGGTGATGTTTACTGGGCCTTGCTGCACACCAAGCCTGTGCAAGGTGACTCTGAAAATTATTCCTCAAAGGGAACTATACATTCTAAGTTCATCCTTTTTTTTTTTGAGGCAGGGTCTCACTATGTAGTCAGGCTGGCCTTGAACTTTTGGCAATCCTCCTGCCTCAGCCTCCTGTGTGCTAAGAGATTATAATCCTGGGATTATAGGGGTGCACCACCATGCCCAGCCTCTAAATTTATTCTAAGAGCAGTGGCCCTCAGCCTTGACTACTTTGGAATCACCTGGGTAACACCGCCCCTCCCATCAAATCCTAGGCCTCCCGAGTGCTAGGGAAGCCCTCTGCCACTGAGTCACACCCCTCAGCTCTGCAGAGGCTCTGAGTCTATTGAGATGCACTTGAGAGCAATTAAATCAGTATCTCTAGGGATGAGGCATAATAGTGGTATGTTTTTAAAGCTTTCCAAGTGATTCCACAGGCAGCTGAGACTGAGCACCATAGTCAAAAATGCTTAACATTAAACAGCACCCTGAGTGCTGGCCACATTAAATACTCCCATCTCCACCCAAACCTGCACTGGTTCTCAAAGTCCCTTGACCAGCAACAGCAATGCCAAAAAACTTGTTAGACATGCAAATTCTTAGGCGCCATTGTAGACTACTGAAGCAGAAACTCTGGGTTGGATCTAGCAATCCATCTACGAGACTTCCAGGGCATTCTGATGCTTTCTAAGGCTTGAGAGCCACTACTGGGGGGTTGAATGGTTTCCTTTACAGGCTGAGAGGTCCAGCTGTCCAGACAAGGCATCATTTTTGTTGTTGTTCTTAAACTTTTCTTCAATACTGGAGATTGAACTCAGGGTCTTCGAACTGAGCTACATACCCAGCCCTTTTTGTTTATTATTTTGAAACAGGAGCTCATTAAATTGCCCAAGCTGGGCTCCAACTTGTGATCCTCAGCCTCCTACAGCCCTGGGATTGCATGTATACATCACTGCACCCGCCTTAACCCCTTCTGTGGTTTTGTCTTGTTTTGGAGATAGGATCTCACGATGTAGTTCAGACTGGCCTTGAACTCACTGTATAGCCCAGGCTAGCCTCAAACTCATGGAGATTCTCCTGCCTCAGCCTCCTGAATGCTGGGACTACAGGCGGGTGCCACCATGACCAGCAACCCAATTTTTTTCAATGAGTGATTTAAACTGGTTTTCTAGGGTCCTTTTGGTTTTTTTGGTTTTTTTGGTACCGGGAATTAAACTCGGGTCCTTGTGCTTGCGCAGCAGGTGGCGAAACCACTGAGCTAAATCTCTGGCCCTAGGGTTCTTTTGAATAGTCCTTGATTTCTTCCTATACACTAACTTTAGAACTCCCCACGCATAGAACGCACCCCCCCACACACATCCTCCAGCCTAGGTAACAGTTCTGTGACAACACCCTGGCCTAGTCACAACCCGGCTCCCCCTACGTCACAGGGTCCCAGCCGTTCCTAGTTGGCCCAGCGGCGGACTTCCCTCTAGCGGTAGGCGGAGGGGCGCACTCAGCGCGGGATGGGCGAGTGGAAGGGCTTCATCAGTGCGGTGCTGCGGGACCAGAGCATCGAGGACGTGGCCGTCGTGGGCCACTCGAACAATTGCTGCGTGTGGGCGTCGCGGCCGGGGGGCCTGCTGGCTGCCATCTCCCCGCAGGAGGTGGGCGTGCTCACGGGGGCCGACCGGCACACCTTCCTGCAGACTGGCCTGTGCTTGGCGGGCTGCCCCTGCTGTGTCATCCGTGACAACCTGCTGGCCGAGGGCGATGGCGTGTTGGACGCGCACACCAAGGGGCTGGACAGGCGCGCCTTCTGCGTGGGCCACACGCCGCGCTTGCTCCTCGTGTTCATGGGTCGGCAGGGCGTGCACGGGGGCATGCTCAACAAGAAGATGCACGAGCTGACCCGCAGGCTGTGCCTGCAGGGCTTGTAGCATGACAGCCAGGCTACCCATGGTAGCAGCCAGACCAGAATAAACTGTGAACTGGGAGTCGTCCTCTGGTTGCTGGTGTGGAGTTGGCAAAGCATTGGGGTGAGCTTGAAGGGCTGGGGGTCTGTTGTTGGAGTGACTGAGGGTGAATGGTGCTGCTGAACCCCATGCTTTGATTTTATCTTTCCTCCCATAGACGCAGAGCAAAAAGACTTCCAAATGCATGAGAATTTAAAATGCCTTTCTTTTTTTCATTGTGCAAGGTTGGGAAAGGGTTGTAGTGGTGGCACTGAGCCCCGAGTAAGGATGAGAATGGCATCATGGAAAAAGAAAGGTGGCAGGTAGGGGTATAACTCAGTCAGTGACTGGCACCCATATCTATGCACAGGCAGACAGCTACACAGTCACCTAGTCAGAGCCACTTTGTCCATCATAGTCTCATGTACACAAAGACATAAATGCAAGCCTTTGTACACATGTGCAAAGGACCTGAAATTGCACCCAAAACACCCTGCAACCTGTACACAGCCTCCCACAAATCTGTACACATGCATAGTCTGATACACATGTGTATATAGATACTGGGTGTGCGGCTACACTGGTAGACACATACACTCACCCCTAAACATGCACACATGCATACTGCCTCTGAGTCACATAAGCCCATACCTCTATGGATCTGCATAAGGATAGGCACCCACGGGTGACACAGATGCCTGGATATCCAGGTGGCATGCACTCACATGTACACACACACACACACACACACACACACACACACACACACCTCCCCCTGGGCTCTGTCCACAGCCCTTTCCATCTCCAGGCAGTTGTCTGGGCCCACAGCCTAGAGGCGGGTGGCATTGTGATGAGCAGGTAGTGCAAGGCGAGGGGAAGGTGTGGCAGGGGGCAGCTCCTCCAGGAAGACCCTTGCAGGCAACTGGGGTGAGCGGGGCTCAGGCCTGGCATAGCATAAGGTGGCACGGGTGATGAGGCGGTCCAGGGGCTTCAGAGAATGCATCCAGTGGGGCAGAAAGTCCCATGTCTGCAGCCACTCGGGCAGGCGTCTAGGACTTCGACTCTGTAGGACATTGACTAGCAGCACAAAAGCCAGCAGGGCTCCAAAGGGTGCACCCACACCTACCATGACTTGCCAGCCTGCCATGGAGATGCCAAACACCAGCGAGGGTAGCAGCAGAAAGCACACAAGGAGGTAGAGGACAGCAAACCAGCGGTACTTGGACGTGCGTTTGCCCAGCGCCTTGGCCATGCGGATGGGCAGTCGCATGCAGGGCAGTGGGTACCACAGCAGGATGCCAGAGATGTTGAAGAAGAAGTGGCAGAGGGCAATCTGCAGGGGAGGGGGCGGAGGGGCTGAAGTGGGCAGAGGCTGCCATGTCAGGTCAGTGGGAAAAGTAATAGGTGCCTGACCTTGCCTAGGCAGCTGGGAAGTCACTACTTAGGGCTGATGAGTCCCCAGATCACCCCAGCATAGCTGTACTGGTTATTAAAATATTGAGATATCTCTGGGTCAGTTGGTAAATAACCACTGCCCTGAACTCTTCACATTTCTGTACTAACCCTTTGTCAGGAGTTCTCCAGCAGATACTGCCAAAATTCAGCAGCTAAGAGCAATGCTAGTTTCTTACCTGCTCTGGGACTCTTAACTGGTCAGTACTGTATCTTGTCAGTGGATGCTTTGTTTCTAGAACAATTCCCCCTTTGCCATCTGCCCCTCCTCCCCAACTCTACTCATTTTTGATCCTAAGATTGGTCCAGGCTCCCAGCCTCATCCAACTTGCTACTTATTCTTTACTGGCATGGATATTGAGCAGTGTATGCATAGGAGACACCAGGGTCTTGGTGTTGGAATCAAGTCAACTTTGCCCATAATAGTTTCTACTGAGCCCATAGTAGGTGGCCTTAGTAGGCAGTCAGAACTATTTGTTACATATTGTCACACACTTGGTCAGGCCCTGCACCCCAGCCCCAGTGCCCAGTCCTAGCCCCATCCTGCTGAGGCAGGACTCTTCCCTGACGCACCTGGAAGGAGCTGGACAGCTTCTCCTTGGGGCTGGCCAGTGCAGCCAGGATGGCCGTGGTGGTGGTGCCAATATTGGAGCCCAGTGTGAGGGGGTAGGCTCTCTCGATGCTGATCATACCTAGGCCTGCAGGGGAGAGGACACGGTCCTCTCCAGGTTCCTCCTTCAGTGCTTGAGCTCTTCCCCTGCCCCCCAACCCCACCTCTGTTCGGCACTCACCAATCAGTGGGGTGATGGCCGATGTGAACACAGAACTGCTCTGGACAATGAAGGTCATTCCGGCACCCACTACCATGGCAAAGTAGCCTGTGACCCAGGTGAAGGGAGCAGGGAGGTCTGCAAAGAAACCCAAGTCCCAGCAGGCTGGGTCAGTGGGAGGGCATTGGGAGAACAGGCACCTTCTTGGGAGGAGGTCTTTTTTTTTTTTTTTAAATAAAGAATAGATATTTATTTAGGTCACAGTTCTGTAGGCTGAGAAGCCCAGGAGCATGGCACAGGTGTCTGGTAAGTCCTTCTTAGTGTATCATTGGGGAGGAGGTCTTTGGATACCAGGGTCCTGCTAGGACCTAGCCAGTCCCTTGCTCAACTGTGGTGGCTTCCATTTGTCCTTCTTTGATCTTGGATTAAAGATCTTTCTTCCTTGGTGTCATCATGCTACCTACTATGACTTTGCCTTGCCTGTACCCTTTACCCAGAATATCCTACTCAGCATCTAAGACAGTTTTCCCTCAGCATCCTCAGGAGATGCCTGAGTACACCAAAGTCTGTGGATATAGTATTTGGATACAACACGAGCACATCCACCTGTATTCTTTAACTCATCTCTAGATTTCTTCTAATGCCCAAAACAATACAAAATCCATGTAAATAGTTGTTATACTGCATTGTTTAGGGAATAATGACATGAAAAATGTTTGCATAGATTCAGGAAAGATGTAATTTTTTTCCAAGTATTTTTGAGCCCTGTGATCTGACTCTATCCCTGTCACCTCCCTGACCTTACTCTGCCTCCTTTAGCTGTCTGTGCTCCCACCACACTGTGGTCACCCTTCTGTGCCACAAACCTGCCAAACTGTTTCTTGCATGCTAGTCTTTTTTTTTGGTACCAGGGATCGAATTTGGGTCCTTCCGCTTGCGAGGCAGGCGACGGCACCACTGAGCTAAACCCCCAGCCCTTGCATGCTAGTCTTTGCACTTGCTGTTCCCTCAATGCCAAATACTCTTTACCTACAGCTTTTCTTTGTTTGCAGTGCTGGGAATGGAACTCAGAGTTTTGTGTGTACTAGGCAAACACTCTGCCAATGTGTTATACTCCAGTCTTCATCCACATCTTGACTCCTCATCCCCGCTATACCGTACTCGGAATCAAACTCAGGACCTTGCGCTTGCCAGGGAGGCACCGCACCACTGAGCTATGTCTCTGGCCCTTGACTCCTTATTTAGATCTCTGCTCAAATGCTTCCTCCTCAGAGAGGCCTGATTGCCTGCTGAAGATGCCCTATTGCAGTGATGACCTTTTAGAGTTTTAAATGATACAAATATCCCGCTGAAGCACACGTGCCATAGTTTCACCACCACTGGCCCATTTCATACGCTATTGCATTGCCAGTTTTGCTCTGCTCTTGGCAGTTATTTTGCTCTTTCTCCAAATTTATCTTCATTCATTGGTTTTTCATTGTCTCCCCCTGCTGGGTTGTGAACCTCCTTAGACTAGGATCATCTCTATTTGCCTCATTCCATATCTCTTGGCACACAGTAGGCTCTTAATCTCTACTTGTTGATTTAACCAATGGTCTCTGAGACTCTCCACCTTCTAGAATGGAACCATAGCCAGAGACAGCCCCAATTCCCTAGTTGTCAGCACCCAAGGAGCCTGTGAATTGCCTAGTCCAATCCCTTTTGTGTTCAGTGGGGAAACAGATTCATAGATGGTATAGGTTTACCCAGATCTTGTCAGTAGCAGGACCTAGCAGGACCAAAAGGGCCTTTCTTGGGGCCTATCTAACTCAGTAGCTTTCCCACCTACTCCTCAGGGCTTACCAGTGTTGATGACCTTCTGGATGACCTTGGCCACCTGGCCCTTGAGCAGTGAGTTAAGCATCTTGACGAGGAGGATGAGGCAGGTGCACAGGAGCATCAGGGAGCCAGCTAGCAGGATGAGTCCCACAGCGAGGTCAGGCAGCACCGTGTCCACGAAGATGTGGTTGCCTATGGGCAGCATATTAAGCTGTTGAGAGCTGACCCCCATGCCCGGCTCCCCCTTGGCCACCTCTGGGACTGTGAGCCTAAGGCCCACCTGGCTCCTTCAGCTTCCACACCAGTGGGGATCACCTCTCATGTTGCAGTTACTTACATTTCTCCATGGTGACATTTCCATGGGTCTGGCTGGCATTGGCCTCTGCTCTGGACATGGTAGAAGCCTAGATTAAGAGCAAGGTGACTTAGGGCCAGGGATTTAGCTCAGTGGTTTCGCCGCCTGCTGCGCAAGCACAAGGACCCAAGTTCGATCCCCGGTACCAAAAAAAAAAAAAAGAACAAGGTGACTTAGATAATATAGGAAAATTCAGCCTGGGATTGGGGCTAGGATGGGTATTAGGAGAGATGAGGCAGACAGAGATGGGTCTCTTGACTCTGTGACCATGGATAGGTCACTTACCCTTTCTGGTCCTATTTCCTCTGGTGGAAAACATAAAGAAATATTTGCCACACAAGAATCAGGCTGTGAGAGGCCCTCTGCATTTCCACCCCATCACTCCATGGAGTGGGTTCCACTGGAACCAGCAGGACACCCCTGATTCCCAAAACTAGTTGCTTCTTTGTTTTCTTTCACCTCTCAGTGACAGGGAATGCCACCGACTATAATCCTACTTTTCTGAAAACTCCCCCTTCCCTTCCTGGTCTTTTACTACTGATCCCTTTATTGGTGCTCCTCCTTCTTCCCCCACATTCTGGCCCCCTCCTTTCCCCTAAGGCTTTGGGAGCCTAAACGTCTTTCTCTAGTGCTCAGTTTCTTAC